CCTCTGTCACACCTGAACTTAGTCTACCTTTTTCATTCATAAAAACTCGCAAGACGTCATTCTATTTACAACTACAGTGCAGAAGTGGAGCAATCCCATGAAAGCGACAGACATTTACACACACTGTATTAAACCAAACAAGATAGTAACACGCATCAACTTCGCTTTGCATAGTGTAATAGTTATGCAGTTGGTTGGTTGGTTGGTTGGTTGTTTAACGCCGCACTCAGCAATATTCCAGCTACGAGGGGCGTTCAATAAGTTTTGGAAGACCATGTCGCAGAATATCTTTTTGCACTTTTATTTTTCAATATAATATCCGTTCACCTCAATACACCCTCTTACCACGCCTCTGTGGCAGCCCTAATGTCTTCGTCATCCTGGAAGCGTCTTCCACATAGGGCAGATTTCATTTGCCGGAACAGGAAATAGTCACTGGGGACAAAGTCTAGGCTGTACAGTTAACCACCCACCCTACAGCCCAGACTTAGTCTCTATGAGCGTGTCGCACCCAACCACTTTCTCGACTTTCAATTTGATTTAACATAAAAGGATAAGCGTGGTGAAATGAAGTCAGTTTTATATATCTGGATATATATCTGGACGTTGGATGCTCCGATTCTGCCATCAGTATCACCTCCGAAGCGCATTTTTGGGAACTTTTCGGAATGATGTTTGTTCATGAATGAAAATACATGACTGCACGACAAGATCACCCAAAGTGAACAGTTCCGACATAAATCATTTACAATCTAAAACATCCAAAATGAGAACAATAACATTCCCTAGCGTAAAGTGCTGTGTGTAGATCACGGTTGTCTTTTCTTATTCCGATGGTGTCACTGACATGCAAGCAGGCTTGAGTTTGTTGATTTCAACGTCTTCAGTATCGGGTCGAACAGTTAACATGAATGTCTTTGGCGAACACTCCGATCACGATTTCCCTCATCCAAAATGGTACGGTCAGAATATAAATTCAGCTGATAGATCAAGGAAACCGCAAAATTTTCATTGCACAGCCGGGAACTCCGGCGGTGCGAGTGACCGACTGTTTGTCCGATATTCAAAGCGCGGGGCTAATTGACTTTTTAGATTTTCTTTTAGTTGTCGTGCGTACTTACAACAATGCGCTTGACTTACCATAAGTTGCATAAAGTCTTAAAATAAGATCTTGAGCGTTGATGCTGTCATGTTTGCACACACAACAGCAGGAACATGTTGTTAATGAGTATGCATAGAAATGTGAACAATGTCCATATTTGGACATTTATCAATATTCATGCGCAACCAGATTTGCTACCGGTTTCAGTTTGATCTGTCAACGAAAGAAAGTTTTTATGTATTTACACTTAAATACATAATTTGACCTGGGTAATAAATAAAATACCACACTTATTCTCGTTAGATACCATTTTTACGAAACTCGTGAACTTTCTATGGTATCTGATGCCATAGAAAGTCCACTCGTTTCCCGAGAATGGTATCTAACGAGAATAACTGTGGTATTTTATTTATCGAGAAAATTGTATTTATCGAAAATGAGTGTATGATTCTCTATTTCTCTGATGAACACACTGATGTTTCTGTTGTTTCCAGCACACACAACATCATCACTACCAGAACTCCTGAAACTGGCCATGGGAGGCTTCCCACCCCAGGAACACAACCAGCCATGATCATCCCTGCACACCACTCTCAACATGTTAACAACATTTGAAGAAATAAATGCGGTTGATCTTGTTTGATGAAACTGTTCAAGAAAGGATTTCAGGAAAGGGAAGGATACGCTCACCTTTCCACGAAGACCTGGTATCATCACTGTTTGATAGTGATTGAACATATGGTTTTACGTGATGATTAACAAATTGAAACGATATGGTTACCAGAAATCGGAACGCATAAAACTAGATTGTGAAATAAGTAAATAATGACACAAGGTCAAAGAAGAATTAACAAATGATATTGAAATTCACAGGACAATGTTGAAAATCATATAAGGCAATACAATAGGTCTAATATATGAGGGGGCCCGTGAGGCCCAGTCGTCTAAGTCGCCGCATTTCGCTGTGCAGAGTTGCGTCCCTTGGACACGCCAGAAACCATTGATTGTTAGTTCGTATCCCGGTTCGCCCCGATTATGTTTCTAGGTTTGTCAACACCATATCCGTGCTCTTGGATTTCTCAGAAGTGGCAAACGTCTAAAATCTGCATAACTTCGGGCTTTCCTCCCACATTAAGCTGACACGCCGTGATAAAACTGGAATACTGCTAAAAGCGGCGTTAAACCCAACTCACTCACTCACTCACTCTCATATATGATACAGTGGTAAAAACTATGTGGCAATGGTATTTTCTAGTAATAAGCCCACATCACAAAATCAGTGCACCCACAATATCCAGGAATTGTTACTTTGGAATAGCCCTATTCTTCGTTCATGGTTTAGATAGTTTATTACCACTCTTACGATTATTGTTTTATCACGTCATAAAACGTGATAGTTAACCTGATAGTTAGTCTAAAACAATTATGATACTGTGACATAAAGTTGGATCATTAAGTGATTATTATTAAGTGTTGCAAAGTGTTTAAAAACGTGTTGTTCCATGTGTTAGAAGCACAAGGCCTACGCCAGGGATACATAATAAGACCGATATTGTTTCTCTCTACGTAACTTAGTAACTGAAAACGTGGGAGAATTAGATATTAACGGTATGCAGGTATTTTCTGACAACGTACAATCAGACTTAGTATTGTTAGCAGACAACTTAGTATTGTTTCTATTTATATATTGTATAGGAGGGTTACAATCTCAGCTGGATGCCTTGTCAAAATATTCAGTGGAATCTGTAAACCTGGCTAAGACAACCCCCCCCCCCCCCAACCACACACACACACACACACACAAAACGAAGAATCGGCAGATTAACAATCTCAGAAGTATGGTACAACCACAACATCAAATTTGAAATTGTAAACATTTAATAATATTCTGAGACTTATATTTACTAGTAATGTGAAGTGGCAGTTATGTTGTCTTGGGTGAATGCAAGCGGTTTTCTCTGTACATTGTTGCTATGAAAAGAGCTGTGAAATATTCGTTGAAAATAACTAGATTATCCTCACGCAGATATGTTAAAAAATGTTATATGATGCTTTAGAAATATGAATGTAGAAAACATAACGAGGTAACAATGAAAAGAACTACCGTTGTATCTCATGGATATATATATAGAAAAAAACAGAGTCCAAATATTCGTGCTTGTCAAAACTCCTTTATCCACACAAGATCTTTCCCCGTTCAACGGCTCTTCAGGTGTAATGAAAACTTTAACTTACATTGTAGTCCTAGGTGACGCATAACAGTAGTATTTGTGGCAGTAGTACATTTAATACTTATACACCTGATTAAATCACCAGTTTATACATATATATTTGGCATTATCAAGGCGTTACTTACTGTTATCCGCATTTCCTGCTGTTACCTGTTGTTAACTGTTGTCAATTGTTGTAACCTGCTGTCCAGGCGCATGTGCCTGATGAACATACATTTTGTTTGAATTTTGTTATGACCAGGAGGCCTACATCAATCAACTTGATTGACCGATTAACAATTTTGATTTGGTCCTGTACACACAAACATTGTGATGCTAATCTTAGTGTAGTCATCGGTATAAGAATATATATATTGTAGTCACTATAACTGATAGGAGTATGTTGTGGTTGCATAATCCTGCTTTCATATTTTGTTTCCTGTTGCCTGTTAAATGTCACTGTTACCTTCAATTACGCTGCGATATGTCGATTATGTTTGCATACGTTAGCCTATAAGGACATAAATACATATTTAGATCAGCGTTACCGTGGTAAATACTCTGTACAGTTACCAAATCCGATAACATTTAAACAGGTGCAATGGTTGACCAAGGTGAGCGTAAAAGGAGGTAGTGTTTTTATTGTTATAGTTTTATTCCACTCACTTAACGGGATCGGGTGGTCAGGCTCGCTGACTTGGTTGATGCATGTCATCGTATCCAAATTGCGTGGATCGATGCTCATGATCTCAATCACTGGATTGTCTGGTCCAGACTCAATTATTTACAGACCGCCGTCATATAGCTGGAATATTGCTGAATGCGGCGTTAAACAACCAAAAAAGAAAAAAAACACCTTTAATTTCCGTATTTATTACAACAGTCTCATTGCAAGTTAAAAGTCAACAGTAAACATTTGGTATAAAAGTTTTACAAGCATTACATTTCTTTTCAGAAGTGAAAGTAACCTGTGCTAGCAAATATGGAAAAATGTGAACCTGGTGCATGTCATAAAACTCAGTTTATACTTTTGTTTTCATTTATATAAATGAGTGATTATTGTTCTATTGCATTATGTTTCTTTTCCTTCATTTCCTATTTGAACACTTGTTACTTAAATTGTTCAATAAAAATGTTGTCTACTTGTTTGTGTTTCTATCTTGTAATGGATCTATCACGCTTAGAACAATAGCAAGGTAAAAATATAAGTAATAACATATCCGTGTTATTCCCACGAAACTTAACTACAATAGCATCTCGTTATCTGTTCAGCATTAATTAAATGCATCTTTAGCAAGTGCTTTCTTCAACACATTGAATGGGTGTAGGTAGAGCGTGATAATGTATCTACATTGACTGGAATCTTGGATTCGAACCAAAACAAATGAATATTAGTAGATACGGAACGCTGCTATGTAAAATGCATTATATGAAACAGATGAAGCTGTCTCACGGGTCTCCTCGATTTATCCTCTCCTCTAGTCCAGGTTGGTAAATCAGTGGCAGGTCATTGGCTATTTGATGGTTATTGAACGATATCAGAACATCGATATACCTTAAGCTTAAGTAAAACTGCTTAGCCAAATTACGTTGTTTTGACATTGTCAATCCGAGCAGAAATTCCGATTCATATGCAGAAAGAAACAGATCCGCAAGAAGTGGAGTAAGAAAGAGACAAACTACTTATACACACATCAAACTTTTTATTGATGAAATTGGCATGCAATGTCCCTTTGCACATATTGCACATTTTGTTGTTGTGCAAACACTGTGCATCTGGATTATCAATCTTCCAGTGAGTCCACTGCAACAAGAAAATGTTTGTTAAAGTTTGTTAAAACACTCTAACACGATTTAATACTTATGTAACGATTAGCTTTATTTGCATTAATATGAAAGTATATCCTTTGAGTTGATTTACTAGAGGTATGATGTTTATGTACTTAACTACCTGATGAGATGACGGTGCATTCTTTAAACCGCCGAATACTTTCTTGAAAGCATTTAACACTGTGACTGAGTGTCATGTGCTTGGTCTGGAAATTGGCAACGACTACTTTCTAATTTATTTTCTAATTTGTAAAGTTCAAATACATATCCTGGTGTACGATTTACTTGTTTTATAATGTTAGTGTTCTTTTCACATATCATGGTCAAATTTACGTCCATTTTTAATTCCAATTAGCGATGGACTACAGAAAATTAAGGGTAGGCCATTGCAAATCTGCCATTATTTCATCACTCGAATATCGAACACGCATTAGTTTTATTAGTTTTCTACAATAAAATATGTATAAATACAATTTTATTTTTGTTAGCGTTATCAAAATCAGTTATCCTATTCCTACAACTGCTGGTATAACTACAAGGCTGCAGTCAGTACAATTAACCTCGTCATAACTAAGTAATCCTTGCACTCCAATTTTTTTACGACTAGAATTGACTGAAGTGAGACTGGGAAAGAAAGTTCTTATGACAAAGGGAGGTTGACAATGTCCAACTACCAAAGGTCATGTAGGAATTACTCGTGGTGACATACATGTATTGCGTCGAATTTGTCGAAGACATTCCGGTTTTGCCCATTGTGCAAGGTAAGGGCAGTTGAAAATGAATTGCATTTAATTTTTGTTTGCCCTATTTATGAAGATATTCGCTCAAAATATTTCCCATATTTAGACTTTATTACTACTAATCGTAAAGATATATTAGTTAGAATGTTAAACTCTTCTGATGTGAACTGTCTTGAGAACGTAGCCAATTATGTTAAAGATGCTATTTGTCTTCGTTCTTCTTACCTGTAAATATTATTTCATGCAGCACTTGATGTGAAACTAAATTGTATATATCTGCATGTGAGCCTGAGGCCTTATTACCGAATAAACTGATTGAATTGTCTACCTGTGATCGAGTCAGAATTGAATATCGGGGATTTTGACAAACCACTGGGATATCAGATCAATTAAGAAATCATTCTTGGTCCATAGAACGATCGGACTGATCGCGAAGGACGACTTGAACGGCACACCGATATCACCACCAATAAAATTCCTTGTGGATTAATTTTATTAGAGTGACTGAGTTGTGTTTAACGCCACGTTTGACAGTATTCCAATTGTACCACGGCTTGTCAGCTTAATATGGGAGGAAAACCGAAATGAGGCATATCTTAGACGTTTACAACCCACGAGCACGGGTATGGTGCTGAAAAGCCTAGAAACATAATCGGGGAGAACCGGGAATCAAACCCACAATCATAGGTTTCTGGCGTGCCCAAGGGACGCAACTCTGCATAGCGTCTTAGACGACTGTCCCCCATACTATTAGATGAGGAGATTACTTACTTTGATCCATTAGATCTCGAGCCTCACGCTGGATGTTGCTAAATTCGGCCTTGTCTGCGTCTGTGAAGATCACGTTGATGACGTAAAAGTATGTTGAATCTTTCGAGCATATTAGTACCACAAGCGACAAAATCCTATCCATAATGGTAATCATATTTCACGATTCAAACATGAGCATGTGTTAATAATTCACTATCAAATAGTTGTGATGCCAGGTGCACGCGAAAATATGAGCGTATCCTGCCCGACCGATGGCATCCGCCATAAACGCAAAGGCAAGTCAGTTGTTCACCAACAAAAACACGATTACATTTGGTACAAGTCACGATAGGGAACTGCATCGAACTGATAAGTCAGATTTGGAAATTTCTCCGGATGTCTACTGGAAAAAATTCTAAAAGCTTTACGAAGGCCTTGAATGTTGTCAACCTTTAGACAAGAGGAGTATGATGCTCCTTTAAATCATCGTAGGAGGAACGTGCCCCAGTGTACTGTTATACAGTCTTGTGGGCAGTTATTTGTGTAACTCTGAATAATTTGATCTGATATATATTAAACAGATGAGGCGGTTTCACGTATCACCTTTAGTTCTAGCTCATGTGGGTAGATCAGTCGTAGGGAATTGGTTATTTGACCATTATTGATCGTTATCAGATCATCGGAAGTTTAAGTTAAACTTCTTAGCCATAAATCCATTGTTTTGAGTTTGCCAATCCAAAAAGACATTCTGACTTGTATGCATACAGAAACAAATCAGCAAGGAGGGGAGGGGAATTGGTGCCCTACTTCTTGCCTAAATGCCCTATGTTTTCTCTATAAACGTCAGATAACTAAATGCCCTATTTTTTCGCTATAAACGTCAGATAACATTTGCTTTCCTGTATATCTTTATATGGATGGTTTTTTCAAGAAAATACTGGTTTGTTAAATAATGTCTGTATTGGCTAGTTAAATAACGATTCATAACACAATTACATCTCGTCTGATATTAGATAACTAAAACGTACATTACAGACTAATGAAATTGGAGGTCGGATTACAAAAACTCCAAACAGTGATTGAATGAGTATTGTTTCACAAGGATGTTATCTATAGGATGTCTATCCCCCTGCCACGCAGTTCTCCGTCAGCAGGCGGTATACGCCAGTCACGGACACTTATTCTGTTCAAATTTAATATGAACGTGCTGATCCTCACGTTGGGCACCAACTGAGCGGACATAACTTTTCCGAGTCCCATGATGGAATTTGAACCACGGACCTTCTGATTCCGGGTCGGGCACCTTGTCCACAGGACCACAGAGGTTACCCCCGTCAAGAATGGCATCTGTAGGATGACGCCGGTTTTGAATTTAAAAGAAAAAGACTAAACTTGGTATCTTACCACTGAGTTGGTCAACTTCAACCAGTTCATTGATGTCTCTGGTGGCCAACGTCTCTATCATTTCCTCCTCCGTCAGGTCTTCATGTAGGGCGCGTATAGCTCGACCTGAAATATGAACGTCAACACAAATTATAGAAGAAGTGTCAGTTGGGCTTAATGCCGCTTTGGAAATTATAAAATTATGTCAACCCGCGTAGTGTGAGGAAGCGTTTGTTGTACAGGGTTACCACGAATTCAGACGCTAGACGGCTTGGCAATAAGTAGCAATACATGTTTAAATAATGACAAGGTATGTCTGTGTACCATCCTAGTTTTCCAAAGAAAAGGGAAATTCGGGCGTTATAGTAGACATGTAAACATTTGAAGCTTGTTAGTGATATGGGTTTTATGGCCACTTTCATATGTATATTAATCGTATCCCTGTAATCATATTTCACGTAAGTAGAAGTAGGTAAGCCGAGATGGTACACACTTGAAAACTAAATGGAAGGGGAACTGTAATGACATGCCATGGATGATAGAATATAGGATTCGAACTCAAAACCAATAGGTATAAGTAACACTGCGTTTGGGAATAGATCTTGCCAAAACAGGCAGGTCTAGATCTGTCAAATTCTATTTCAGCTGAAATGAGCGTTTGCAGTAAACGTTGATGTATTTCTACAAAGTTAAGAATACATTTCCTTTGTCCTTCGTCTAGGGAACTATCTGCTAACATACAGGGTCCATAGTATCTTCAGACGTACCAATTAAATGTATGACTTATAAAGAGAGTGTGTTCAACCGAATTCGTAATATTCCAGCAATATTACGTCATGTAGCTACCAGGAATGGACTTTACAAAATGTACCCATGCTGGCTATTGAACCAGCGTCTTGAGCAAACGGTTTATCCTCCTAGGAGAAACTATACCAACGGGAATGGAGAACTAGATATACCTCACACTGAAAGCAAACATAACCCATGTCTTCCGAAAACACAGATTTGAATTATTGACTTCAGTCGGGGCGGCGACAACGAGATACTAATGACTGACGGCCTAATATATTTTAATTTACAGGTTTCTGTCAATAACTCAAGGAGGTTAGTTTTCTTTGTTCGTGTCATGTGGCTCCGTTGCTGAAATGTAACAATCCGCCTACCGTGTCTGTTTTTCCACTCGTTGAACTTGTCTACAACTTTCTTCACACCATCAGAAACCTTTTGTGCGACCTTTTTAACACCTTCAGCAACTCTTCTAAACCATCTCCACGCGCTGGTTTCTGCAGGAAGGGCGGCAAAGACAACAAACATCAGCAGCAGAGCAACAGCCTTCATCTGCAACAAATTATTTCAAAATATGTACCGACAATGACCCAGGTAGAGATACTTTTCTATGTGTACTAGCTACTGTGGTGAATCAATCAGAGATAGTTAAGTATTACCAGCCACAATAGAATATTTATGAATCATTGTTAAATAGGGATTGGCTCTCAACCGTTGTTTCGAGCGATTATATCCAAGTCTTTATGTGTTATTACATTTACGAACTGATTTGAAAATTGATATTTGAAATTTATAATACGTATTGTTTTTCAAATTGGAAACACAACAAACAGGAAAACAGACGCAACTTTCAAACTAGATTCCAATCAATAAGGTTTACCTAAACAGGTAACATAAATTATTATCCTATTTTTTTATATACCTAAATACAAGACATTTCATTATATCGGAGTGGACAACTTTTCCGAAAGATTCGGGTATTAAGCTCTGGAATTTCAATAAACTGAATGGGAATGACAGTGAATGCGTAAGGCCTAGTTCATGGATATTGGCAATCATTTGCATTTATATCATAAGGGTAGCGCTATTTTTCAGGGCATTATCATTTGCAGAAGCCCGAGGTCTTCAATTATCTGCTCAACGAAGGAGAGCAGTTGAAAAGACCGGGGGTTACCGTTATTACAGCTAAAATTGAAAGAATTTGTTATCAAATAAACATAAGCAACGATATCGGTTTTGAAACATTTTCTGCAATCAACACACAACGAATGCCACTGACCCACTCACTCTCCTACCCAGAGTTCCATGCGGCCGGCAGCCAGCCAGTATAGTACCTCTGCCACAGGCCAGCGCCATGTGACGATTCGTCACATCTTTCACAGTCCATTCAAGATATTGCATATGCTTTCATCCGTTTCATGTTTGACAAGTCTACACATTTTCATAAACAAATATCAAAGAATGGCTACGGTTCATTAAGAAAGTATGCTAATACGTGAAAATCCTTTGTTTACCCTTTGTTTACATTGGTTTACGGCTCTACGTGCTGCCAACGGAGAGCTAGCGACACGGTCACTTTGATGCATAAATATATATTGTCATGCAACGCACTGTCGCAGTTGTAGTAGCATATCTATATAAGTATGCAAAACAATATGTAAAGCGCCCCAAATACTTGCATAAGTCCGTTCTATACTGATTTCTGAAAAAGCGCGTTTGTTTACAAACAAGAGAAAAGCCCGGTCATGTGATATGCAAATTAGCCTGTCACCGGAGTGTGTGACCCGCTTTTACAAATATGGAAACGTCATAGAACAAACCAGATGACGTCACAATAGAATATCAATATGACGTTACCCAACAGCGTGATAATGGCCCGTCGTCAAGCAATATGAGGGAATTATGAAGTTACAGTGGTCCGCTCGTTTCTGATAACATACGGGCGGTTTAATGATAATTCTAATATCACTGTCACTAGAATTCGATAACAGGAAAGTTAACTTCTAGTTCCGTTTCATTTAGACCTAATAACGTGTTGAATACGTTAAACATATAAGAGTAGGTGAGTGAATTTGGGTTGAACGCCAGTTTGAATAATATTCCATATCATGTTATATGTATGCGGGGGAAAACCCATAGTCAGGCGTATACCACTTCGGTGAAACCCACGGGCACGGGTATGGTGTTGACAAACCTAGAAACCTAATCGGTGCAAACCGGGATTCGAACCAACGACCCTAAGTTTCTGGCGTATCCAAGGGACGTAACTCGGCACAGCTATTTGCTGCGCCTTACACGACTATGCCACCTGTGCGCCCTATACATATACGAGGCGAAATCTGCACAGCTCCACGAATGTTTAAAAGGATGCATTTTTTTAAATATATGCATTTAGACTGTTATTTTGCAAGCTACCATCATATCCAATAGCCCATTCACAGGATCCTGGGGAATATGCGATATCCCATAGCTCCATAAAGTTTAATTTGACAAGAGAATAGTAATGAGAAGAGTTTGAAAAAAATCAAATTTGCTATTGCGATTAAGTCAGAACCATCAGTAAACGTTGGCCAATGGTTATACACGTACTGCTCTACAATGGATATCTGCTCATTACAAACTGCAGCCATGTTTCTTCTGACGTCATCTTTATATCATCAATCCACATATGTATCAAGTTCGTAGACAAATATATATTAGTTTGGTACATGTGGTAAAATATGCGTTGCATAACAGTACCAATAGAAAAACTAAGGTTAATAAGACTTTCTAGAACTGCAATTTGACTTGAGCCTTGTCCTCGATTAATTTTGTTTCTGCTCATATCTCAACTGACCTGTTGATAGAAAACTGTAAAAGGTAAATAAACAAGTAATTAAATTATGGATTGCACATGAAAGAGCCAACATACCTTGCTAGGTTGATTTGATGACTGTCCAAGAAATGAACTGATTTCTGAATTGTTATGCCTTCTATATATTCATGCAGGGTGAGAAGAACCCTTGCAGCCATCGTTCTTACCCTTGGCCTGTGGAACATATGTTTAAACACCTTAACCCGGAAAATAAAGTAGAACTTAACACGTTTTGCTGCCAACGGACATTTTAGACATGGACATGTTAAATCCGATGTAATAAGGTGTCTATGCCACAAGCAGTGTACCATGAGCTATCCAATCAAACACAAGGTCAACGAGTATGCATCACTTTGTTCAATGTTCTGTTCAGAGAGTAACACAAGCCGTTACTTCAACTGTTCAGGAGCCTGGTTTAATAATTTGCTCGTCAGGCCGAATGCCAAGGTCCTTGATATTACTGGAATATTGCTAAATGTAGCGTAAAGCCATATTCACTCAATGGAGTTGATCCTCAATCATATAAAGTTGAACGAGGCGAATTGATAGATCTGGTGGTCAAGCTCGTTGACTTAGATGATGGCACGTTAATGAACTCTGATTTGCCTAACCCTAACTCTATCCCTAACCCTAACCCTAACCCTAACCCTAACCAAAATAATAATCATAACTGATTTGCCTACTCTTCGAATATTAACTTATTCCGCAGGAATAATGCGACGTTAAAATCATCAGTTAGTCTTTGTGATGTAGTAAGTTTCAAACACCGCCTTCTCATACAGTATTTCACTCGTTAGTTTATAACGGAACTATCACTTGTGTGACAAAATGACAAAATATTGTTGAACGGCCAAAGGAAAACACACACACATGTGCATGCAAGTCGCTATGTAATTGCAATAATCTTGCATAAGGCTTTAAACCCCATTTCACCTAACCTATCAAGGACAATAGAATCAATTCGAAATGGGGGGGGGGGGGGGGGGGGGGACGATATATTAATCAGATCTCTGATCATATTGTGTGCCTCCCGATGTAACATCCTGCTCCCAAACAACTGCAGAAATGACAACGCTCGAGGTTGCAATCAGTTCACAGTAAATCAGATCACGAGTGTGAAGGGATGGCAACCCAAGTGTCACTTTCCATTATGGGGTAGTCAGTACAGGATGCACACCATTATACATCAACTGAGTGCATTGTCACAGGTGCTTTAAGTGTTTTCCATTGCAGTACGCTTACTCATCTACCAGACAGGTAGGTCTTTTCCAATGTGTTTGGTGTATCCTTATTATAATATGGTGTCCATTTTATGTATTTTAAATACACATATATACTCATGGATCATGGACCATACCATAATGTATGTTAATACATAAAGAATTACTCATATTCAAGAGATATAAGATTGGTTAGACGCACAAACGAGCATTCTGATATGTAGTGTGAACCGACGCTCATGAACGCATCACATGTGAAGTCATAGATCCATGACTCGAGATACACCATTTTTCGCGTGCAGAATTTGCCTGTGAGGTTGGGAAATTACGTGCAGCATATGGTGATAAGAATAAAGGCACTGTGATGGTTAGCTTAGTCATGAATTGTTGCACATTGGAAATATCTCTTCTTAATCTACATAGTTCTCTATATGTTTCTAAGCTTTAGTTGGGTAGCCTAGTTGTTAAAGCGTTCGCTCGCCACGCCGAAGACCCGGGTTCGATTCCCGACATGGATACAATGTGTGAAGCCCATTTCTGGTGTCCCCCGCCGTGATATTGCTTGAATATTGCTAAAAGCGGCGTAAAACCATACTCACTTACACACTCATTATCCCCGAAACGCCGAGCGCCAGGCCCAGTAACGCCGGTGCTTCATATATAATGGAACCTGGGCCAGTCGCACCCAACGTTCCTTAAGTAACTGTCCAAGGGTTGGGGTACGATGATTCGCCATCCTCCAGGTCACCCATTGTAGCCACCAGATCCTCTTTATTGCCTCTTTATGAGCGTGAGGTACCGGGGACATGCTGTCCTTGAATGACTTTTGGACAGAGGTTATGGTAATTGTGAACAAAAAAACCTGTCTACCTGTTACATTTATACAATATCTCAAGAAACAGATTCGATACATACCATTTGTTTCTTAATAGTGTTCCTGACTATTTGGCCCACCATTTGGTGTTCCACGGGGCTGAGCGCCTCCATCGTCTGGTGGTAAAGCGTCAACCCGGAGAGCGTAAGGTCGGTGGTTTGATGCCCTGCCGCGTCATACGAAAAGACGGTAAAAGATGGTACTGGTTACTGGCGCTCGGCATTATGGGAATAAAACAACATCTGGTCAGCTTGGAATCAGTTTACCGTGGTTATATTAACAAACGGGTCACCTCGCGTTTCGGCAGCTTGCATTCCTGAGAGTTTCTTAGGCTTCGGTCCTGTCCAACAGAGAGGAACAAGTAACGAAGGTGGTGTCTCCTCAGGCAAGCGACTTCATTCGAAAAGTGCCTCTGTTCACCAAGAATGGGTACCCGGCAGGATGAGATGGTTGTTAACCTTCTAGCGCCTAACAGGCAGCTTGGTCTGTATACTCCCCAGGGAGCAGACAATGATTCTTGAATGCACACTGATCTAGTAACCGGGGTCATAATAGCGTTTTGAACATTTTGAAGTTTATTTCAGCATAAAGGCCACAGGCGCAAGTACAATATGGAGCATTCCCCTGTGTGGTGTTGAAATATGCGAAATAATAATGTTCTATTAAAGCGCATAATTCATTACACAGTACCCCTACATTTCTGTATTTTGTTTTCGTGCTATCACCAAATGGTTTGTTTCATAATTATCTATCTAGATACGTTTTCACTCATTGTAATACAATACCTAAAGGGGACTATGTTCGACACCCTGATGTCCACTTCCAGTCTTAGTCGTGGTACTGTTACTAACACCCATGACACAACACGACACACTCTGGTATGAGTTGCATTAACAACGGCAAGATTGAAATATGTCATAATGTAAAACGTCAACGCCAGAGAATAACCAGTCACGATTATCTGCCGAAACAGATTCCATTAGGCGTAGAGGCAACCTAGCGGCGAAAATTGTATGAATTAATCATTAATAATCAGTGATGACACCAGGTGTTCACGAACAGGATGAAGCATCTCCTGGCCTACCGGTGGCACTCGCCACTCAGACAATCTCCAGAGTGAGTGAGTGAGTTGGGTTTAACGCCGCTTTTAACATTATTCCAGTTATATCACGGCGTGTCTGCTTAATGTGGGAGGAAAGCCCGAAGTGATGCAGGTCTCAGACGTTTACCACTTCGGTGAAACCCACGAGCAGGGGTATGGTGCTGACAAACCTAGAAACATAATTGGGGCGAACCGGGATTCGAACCCACAATCATAGGTTTCTGGCGTGCCCAAGGGAAGCAACTCTGCACAGCGAATCTCGGCGCCTTAGACGACTGGGCCACCCGTGCCCCCCACAATTTATGGGTGGGATTGGGGCTTTAATGGGTATGATGTGTATTATATTTCATTGGTGAACAATAGTGCAAGCCTCATGGTTTATATGTTTATTTTATAATCTATGTGAAGTTGTTTTATGAGATATTGGTGTCTGGTAAGCCAGTGTTAGCCGACCGCTGTTTATTCGCCTTCTAGGTATTTTTATTATGTACAGCGGGTGACATTCTGATAAAATATTTGTCCCTCCCCACATTGTGAACAATATGTGTATTTCTCATTTGAACACGAACAAAATATGAGTTGAGTCAAGTTTTGTTCTGCGTTCTATTATATCGCCATCGATGTTTCGGTTACGTCACAGTATGCAAAGGTGACGTCATTGATCCATGAAAAGGTGAGTACTACAGACAATTAATGAAATATATAATATCTTAGGCTGTATGTAGTAGTCGCTGATCCAACATTACAAAATGTAGAATCGAATATACAATAATACCTGTAAATATATCAAAAACACATGTGTTACAGAGCAATTGATTGATAGGCGTTACTTAGAAATTGACGGATGACACAATTTATGGATAACAACTTCTTCATTTACTGTAAAGGCGACGTTTCGGTATATATAGAGGATTCATCACGAGTGTTTTTTTAATATGGGAAATATCAACCGAGTCTTAGTTAATCGGTATTTGCCGAGCCTTTCGCGAGGCAAATACCGATTAACGGGACGAGGTTGATATTTCCCATATTAAAAAACACGAGCGATGAATTCTATTTATCATTTTCACATTTTTGCTTCCAAATTAAGGAATAATTGCATTAAACATTAACATCAGCAACTTGTCGAAATCTTACGTATAGATCGTGCGTAGTGATACATGTTTTCCATAGCCATGTAAACCAAAATAAACAATTCGCTGTGAAAAAAAGTTCCTCGGATTATTTTAAACAAAATACTTGAACAGACTTTTGCAGAATAATTGAAACTTTAATAACGGTAACAACAACGATTCTGTGTAATCTGATTATATCTCTGGTGTAACTTCACTTATAATATATAGTTTCAAATCAAACCGCTCGCTCTTCCGGTTATCTAATTTGCATATCTAATTTGCATACTTATGTCATTGGGGTATGACATACATGTTTTTATGTCATAAGCTTATGTCATGGATAAATGCTTAAGTTAAATGATAAATTCTTATACCGTTGACTGTAAATAAAGAAGTTGTTATCCATATACTTCCTGTGAATATGAAGAATGTCCAACTTTGATTTAATTAATATTCATGGTTAAGCTTTCAGATACAGACTTGGCGGCATATTGGATGGACCTAGCAATATAATCTCAATAAGACCCGTGTCACTTTAGGCTTGCGTCACATTTGAAATTGGCATTCCGTGATTGGACCCAAGTTCACTCACTCATTCACTCTTCTGTACATTCGGTATAACGTACTTGGTTTGGTTGAATATGCCGTGTCAGTATACGTACACGATCGTGCACAAATACCATCCCGCAAAACAGTTGGTGTGAAACCTTTGACGTGACACGTGGGAAGTTATCTCCCCAAACTGCAATCATTAGTCAGGCTGTCGCATCCGTTATTTGTATCAACACGCACGATGTGTGAATTGGTATTGACACTGATTATGATCTGCCGCTCGTAGTTGCAATGTAGCTTCTAACTAAGCTTAAAGCTTATTTGGAATCCGCCTGTACCATAACAAGGTAGGTTATGACAATAATATTTTATTACCTATTATGTATGCGACGCCGTTCTGCCTTTTTCCATATTTCACATCAATTATTCGTTTATTAATATTACAAAACAACCTATCAACATAGCAATCGATTTTTTTTTATATCAAACCGTATTGTTTTTACATCAGAAATTCTATTTTAGATATCATTTATGTGCTATGACATATAAAAAGCTTAGCAATGTATTTTGTGTTATCTTGAAATAATTTTATGAGATCAAGATTGAAGTTGTGATATCTAAAAACTTGAATTAATATTTGACATTTGATATGGTGATATCAATAAATCTTTTTTAATGATACCGGATGTGTGATTGCATTTATTAATTGTGTGAGGTGAGGTGAGGTGAAATGGGGTTTAACGTCGCATCCAAGATTATTGCACTTATATAGCGACGTGCATGCACGTGTATGTGTGTGTGTGTGGCTGCTTGTACTAGTCCGGACTGATGCCGATTTATAGTGCTAGCACACTGAGATACCATGCCGCAGTTTAACATGAATACCCCACTCAGACACAGTATACTGACTCTGAGCCGACCAGTCCTTGTTTTAGCCCCTTTATGCCGAACGGACAGGGTAACAACAAGTACCATCTTTTAACGTCTTTTGGTATGACGCGGCTGGGGATCGAACCCCGGACTTTCCGCTCTCCGGGCGGACGCTCTTCCATTAGACCACGGAGGCGGTCATTAATTTTGTGATGATTTTTAACAATAGGGTATGTAAGATAGCACTTAATCGATTATTGATATAATTAATTCCCCTTTTCAGCTGTTTTCTATTAATTTTGAATTTGTGTAAATTCTTTTACGATGTCACATTAAAACATGTCGGTAAGATAAATTTGTAGTAGCAGGATCAGTTGGGGTACATGCGGCTCGTGGTATAAAATAAGACTTAACGCGGGACGCATAAAACCCAGGTACTCCTCGTGATCCTGCTTCAACTTATAATATGGGGCGGTCGGGTAGCCTAGTGGTTAAAGCGTTCGCTCGTCACGCCGAAGACCCGGGTTCGATTTCCGACATGGGTACAACGAGTGAAGCCCATTTCTGGTGTCCCCCGCCGTGATATTGCTGGAATATTGCTAAAAGCGGCGTAAAACCATACTCACTCACTCACTCACTCAACTTATAATGTGTGGTAGGTTTGACAGGCAATATTCGCGAATAGTAATTATTGTGTGTGACTTTCAGGGAGATTTCTAGATTTGTTTGAACCAAGAAGTAAATCATCATTATTGATATCACATTCTGGATTTCCATATTTCAATAAATATATTTGCATTAAGTGATATCTCAAAACTATTTAGTCATTATTTAAAGTCTTATTTGGGATGTCTATAATTGAAGATTAAAATCACTTATTCGATTTATTGATCTATTAAAATGCACCAGCATAATTAATAACTAAACATCAAATTTGTGATATCAATAAATGTATTTATCGCAGACGGTGTACGCTTTTCAATGTTTACTTATTCTCTATGACGTCTATTGGACCAAGGGTAACAATTAATATCATCATAAAATAGCGTTATATGTTGAAATATTGTATGATTTATATATGTATTTGCTTAATACCAACACTTCGGGAACATCTTCCGTATGTTTCAGATGAAGACTAAGGTATTGCTGATAGTGTTGGTCGTCGCAGTGTTGTTGCTACACACTGGTGACGCCAGGAGACGTCGTTCCTGGTTCCGGAGGTTATTTCGTTCGGGAAGACGTATGTTTGTATATGTTTGTATATGTTTGTCCACATTTGTGTCTGTATTTACATTGAAGGGCGATTGGGTCAGCCAAGAGGTTTGAAGCGTTCCCTCGTGCCGCCGAACAACATATCCAAATACCAGTACATGCGTATCTCCAAAACAGCATTAACGGTAATGGATATTTGTATATGTATTATTCTGAAGATGAAGTTACTCTTTATCTTTCCCAAGCTTCTTGCAAGATGGTTATTTTGTTATAGTTCCCTGAATTATACTTTGTTCTGAAGGGCGATATATGATAACGATCAAACTCGGCCAACAAGAAATGCCAATTCTTAAAGGTAAATGTCCGCACAACTTGCAAACAATGTTGTTACAGTTATCGGACCAGTTCATGCCAATTGCAAAAAATGTTAAACTATCACTTGTATTTTCTATCATGAAACAATAACTTGAGGGGTTCATAAGAGAAAAGATGTTTCGAATTTCTATAGAAAATCTAACAATGAGCAGCCCCGTAACGTTGGATTTTCGTGTCATATCTTTGTACTGTGATCACGTGCATTTCCTTTTCGACGCTGTAAATATCGTCTGCTTGTCTCGATTTCGCCATTGGTGCCACGGGTTTAACGATATTGTAATGTAGTGTCGCTGTATAAAGTTAAGATGACGACGTCAGAACAAGAAGCTATTTCAACGATATTATTTCTTGCATTTGTTGTACAAACAGCGTGCAAGATATTGGGTAACAAATGCCACTGGCACGGCCGAGATGTGGGAGACGTTGACGAAGCAGCCGTGGGTCCTCACCTCGACATACCCGAGACATCTGCTGAGTCGAAGTGAGGTGTGGGTAAATCATAATTGTTTTACGGGCTGCTGACCTCTTTAATCAGTACAGTATCGTTCTCAGTGTAACAACTGTCTGGAATCACGAACTGATACGTATGAGGCAAGGGAATTGCTTACGTTGTTATGATCGTACGAGAATCGTATCGGTGAAGTTGACAGTTGTAAGTATAAGAATGTTCCTTTGATTGTGTGGTGTGTTATCATAGTGTTTTAGGAATGATTGTGTGTGTTGAGATGATCGCTTGTCAGTTGTATAATGACATTCTAACGAATACCAACGTTGATCACATAATCGGTAGGTTTCTCCGCAAGATAAAGCCAACGGATAAAAACGATATCCGTTGGGGTCATATGCGGATAGAGATGCAAATATCAAAGGTCAAGCAGGGACTACTCTCAGTGTTTATAAACAAACATGGCGTCGCCCTGTTCATTCGGCGATCGAGTCTGAAGTAACCATCGGGAATCTGGAGAAACTACTGGGATAATTGCTATCATTATCAAAGGAAAAGTCTAATATATTGACAATCAATGTCAGACTGTTACGTAGCTAAAGCATTTTTGGCCGACTGTCAACAACGTCTGACTGGCCGTGACGTCTTGTAGACTAGGGTCAGAGTAGCTTCCCTTTGATAAAGGGCAGTTACTCCAGCAGACAGACGATTGCCGCGAAAGGCAAGGAGAAACATTTTGTGTACGCATTTGTTGTTTTTCATATATCTAGTACATATGTATAAGAAACAGGTTTCAGTTGGAACTATATTGGCTACTATCACTGTCCCACTGACACATCACTTACCTTCTGACGTAATATATAATAATGCGCTCATTTTAGGAAAACTTGCAATGTGTGGGTGAAGTTTGTGAGAGATGGGGAGAGATTTTTCGTGTAAAGAATTGCAGAATGACATTATATGGTAAAGAGGTTATCACTCTTGTGTGTTTTGGGAGGGCAAATATCCTGCATTAGGAATAAGCACTATGTATTTAGCTCGCCAAAGCTCTCTAAATACAACGTTTATTCCTGATACAAGATATTTACCATCCCCTAACACACTCGCGTGGTAACCTCTATTTACTTGAAGCAGCGAGTTCTGTTGTCTATCATTGGTGGCAGCGGTGGGATACCATATTTTTCACTTGTTAATGGCTAGTGCCGGTGTATCACAGTGGGCCGAGTGTGAAGGTGGTGATATTGAGAGTCATTTGAGTCAAATGGAAAGTTTATGCGTCGTCAGATACAGCACTGAGGAAGCCAAGAAAGTAGCGTGCGTTCACGTAGCGCTGAAGGGCGAAATCAAGCAATTTTTCACATTATCTGAGGAGCAGCAGCAATCGTACTCGGGTGTGAAATACTGTAACTTTCTGTTACATAAATATAGTGGAATCCTCCTTCTCGGAATAGGAGGTCAGGCATAACTACTGTCAGTTCCTGATAAGAAACTGCTGTTTTCACCGACTTGAACATGTCTGGAAACGCCTATTTCACAAGTCAAGTCGGTGAAAACAGCAGTTTCTTACCAGGAACTGACAGTAGTTATGTCTGACCTCCTATTCCCAGAAGTAGGATTCCACTATATTTATGTAACAGAAAGTTTCACTCAATAACCAATGTCCAGCTATATCCAGTGAGGGGGCACGGGTGGCCCAGTCGTCTAAGGCGCCGCGATTCACTGTGCAGAGTTGCGTCCCTTGGGCACGCCAGAAACCTATGATTGTGGGTTCGAATCCCGGTTCGCCCCGATTATGTTTCTAGGTTTGTCAGCACCATACCCGTGCTCGTGGGTTTCACCGAAGTGGTAAACGTCTGAGACCTGCATCACTTCGGGCTTTCCTCCCACATTAAGCTGACACGCCGCGATATAACTGGAATACTGTTAAAAGCGGCGTTAAACCAAACTCACTCACTCACTCACTATATCCAGTTAAGACGTGTCGAGAACGCAACAAAGGTTAGAAGGGGTAGGAAATTGATTTGATGAATGACATGGTCACTTCGCGGCTCATCAGATGCATCACTGCCTAAATATGGACATCACATGAGTTGAATATCTCCTGGGGCGGTATTCATAAAAAAAACTAAGATTTTTTAAGTCTAAACCTAAGTTTTAGAAATCTGACTAAGCAAAGTCTGAGACTTAAGTTGATATTCATAAAGATGCTAAGTCAAAAAAGGTAAAAAACTTCGTTATTTTTCCAAACTTAGGTTTTTTCAGACTTAAGTTATTTTATGAATACCGCCCCATGTAGATAGTGACATCGCCACAGCCTACTTCATTGTCATTGAACACAGCATTCGTGCATTTGGTAGTTTCGTGACATGTGGTGTAGATTTGGCATGTAATATCGGGACTTTGTTTAGCAGATTGTTTGAAACATTTAACACGGGAAAATGACAAGTTGCAGTGGAAGATTACTAACTGGGACTGACTAGCCCAGTAGATATGTCCTGCCCTAGTCTGCTACTCTCTTCTATGCTGAGCTTGGCCTCATAGTCATATCTTACAGCTTCACGTGTACCCAATAATTATCAACATGTTTTGTTCATATTTCAGGTAACGATTCTGTGAGCGTTGGGCATACATATTGTGACAATGTGAAGATGGATGCACAATAAAACTCAACGACAAAGTTTCATTACGTGTCCTTTTTAATACCAAATATAGTTTTAAAATAGTTTACAAACATGTCCAGCTGGGTACCGTCAAAATATATATCCAGTTTAAAGGTGTTCGACATAAGCCGTGACTAGAAGACAGAAGATAATCTGTCGGGACCATAATGTCAATTCAAACATCAACGTCAGAGAATAATCAGTTTTGAATATCTCACGAAACAAAGCTCATTTGTCGTGAAAGCAAAATAGCGATTTATTTCAAAATTAGTGTTATTATTTTTTTATTTATTTATTTTGCGTTTTGATGAATATGCTAGTAAGTCTACTTCTGTTTTGTAGATCATCGTCCCATGTACACAATTTTTTTTCTTTTTTAAAATAAGATTTTTATTTCAATTCAGTACACATAAATGCAACATTGGTGCATGAGATATATAAGTGTAGCAAAAACATGATCAGATATGGGTATGTACATATATTGATTGACTGAGAAATTATAATAGGCTGATAATTCCTCCCATTTTCTGTTGAATTTATTCAAACTTCTATTTTTCATTGCGATAATTCTTTTTCTATTTTAAATACATCTTTCAATATTTTTATGAAAAAAAAGGAAAGCATAATGGAGTTTTCTTAATCCTTGACTGATGAATGTATTTTTTTACAAGAAGAATTATATGGTTGTAAAGATAGCTGTTTTTGTTGTAGCAAAATAACTTATCCAGAATGGTAATATGAATATCATATGCAAGTTTCGAGTTTAGGTACATTTCAATTTCTAACCTTGATCATTCACTCACTTGACTCACATTCATTTTTATCACTCACTCTCAGTTAATCACTTACGCACTCACTTGCCCCACTCTCAGTTGATCAATAAAGCATACAGGACCACAGATGAACTATCACACTGTCAGTCGATTCATACATGATGAAACCATTCAGTGTAACGAATATTGTTGTTCAGAATTAATGAACTGATTATATATAATACAGACGAACCGTTTTAGCTCACAATACAGTCTCCTTCCTGTACATCGGCGGTACTGGATCGCCCGACAGCCTGCCGGCTATGGGTAGTTTATGAGTGGACCACCTTGTGCTACAACACTCAGGTTGTGAGTGGTGGGTGTGTATCATTGTACGCTGAATGTGGGACTGGCTGCTCAGACTTAAATCTGTAAACATATGTTCATAACTATGCAGTGTTCGTTCACATGTAGGGGCGGCAGGGTAGGCTAGAGGTTAAAGCGTTCGCTCGTCATGCCGAAGGCCCGGGTTCGATTCCCCACATGGGTACAGTGTGTAAAGCCTTTTTTCTGGTGTCCCCTACCGTGATATTGCTGGGATATTGCTAAAAGCGGCGTAAAACCATACTCACTCACTCACCCATGCCCATGTCATCGACCGACATTTACCGATAATTGGTATAATACATATGTAATAACTTACTTTATTATTGAATATCATATATTATGAGTCAGTGAGGTTTAAGGTCGATTTATAAAGTATTTCTGGCGTGGCAACCATATTGCAGTGCGACTCTTGTCGTAAATGTCTGCCACTTTGCTCAAACCCATGAGTATCCTTGCAACAAATAACATTCCGGCGCCTTAGGTAACTGGTCCATACGTGTCCCCAGCGCATTTCGTGTTGTGTGGACCGCCTCCGTGGTCTAGTGGTAGAGCGTCTATCCGGAGAACGGAAGGTCGAGGGTTCGATCCCAAGTCGCGTCATGCCAAAAAACCCGTAAAATATGGTACTTGTTGTTACCTTGCCTGGCGCTCGGCATTAAGGGGATAAAACAAAGACTTGTCGGCTCGGAGTCTGTATACTGTGTGGGGTATTCATGTTACACTGCGACATGGTATCTCAGAGGGCTAGAGGGCTGTATGCAATTAACCAGAAGCTGGTATCCATAAAGTTACGTTTTGTTGTCACCTTCACTATATTCCAGCAATGTGGCGGCGGGAGACGCCAGAAATAGGCTTCCCACATAATTGTACCCCTGACTTGTGTGGAATCGAAACACTTCGGTGCGGACCCGTGAAGATCCGGGGTAGAATAGGTCTTCAGAACCATACTTGCTGTAAAAGGCGACTATGCTTGTCGTAGAAGGCGACTAACGTTATCCGGTGGTCATGCTCTCTGACTTGATTGATGCATGTCATTGTATCCCAATTTCGTGGATGTTCATAATATCAATCACTGGATTGTCTGGTCCAGATTCGATTATTTACAGACCGCCGTCATATAGCTGGAATACTGCTGAGTGCGGCGTTAAACAACAAATAAACAAAACTTCGGTGCGACGAGCGAACGGTTATGTAGCTTGACTTCCCCAGCGCCTCGACTTATATCTGAAGTATTTACAATAATACAAACACACATTTGTGATGTGACTTTATTTATTAATGTTCATACTCATTTTGTTACATATAGGAAATATGAGTTGGACATCTTGGGTTTCGCTTGTCAACACAATTATTCTGAAAGAGAAAGTAAACCAAATTTGAATACAGGAAGTAAAGGATTTATATGATTCGTTAATAGTTTACATCGATAATCATGAGATAGACATCGTGCGTGTGTGTATGTGCACGTGTCTCTCGGTGTGCGTCTGTGTGTGTGAGTGTGTGTATGTGTGTGCCTATTCTATTAATTCATCCCAGCAAACATTGTCATTCAAAATAATACATGTTGATTGTACTCAAATAGGAAACGAACGAATTAAGGTCACTTACAGGCAAATGTTCACAATTAACAATCTTTGAGAAACACCTTGCATCTTAGAAAAAGACCCACTAAGTATTGTGCATCTATTCAGGTATGATAGTTTGTTTACTGGTCAAGGTCTTATAAGGGTCCTTTATGGCCAACAGGGTCGGCATACTTAAAGTGAGGTGAGGTGAAATTGGGATTATTGCACTTATATAGCGACGTGCATGCACGTGTATGTGTGTGTGTGGCTGCTTGTACTAGTCCGCACTGATGCCGATTTATAGTGCTAGCTCACTGAGATATCATGCCGCAGTTTAACATGAATACCCCACTCAGACACAGTATACTGACTCCGAGCCGACCAGTCCTTGTTTTAGCCCCTAAATGCCGAGCGCCAGACAGGGTAACAACAAGTACAATCTTTTAACGTCTTTTTGTATGACGCGGCCCGGGATCGAACCCTGGACCTTCCGCTCTCCGGGCGGACGCTCTACCACAAGACCACGGAGGCGGTCGCATACTTAAAGAAATGAGTTAAGCCTTTGAAAATTATGATGGTCGTCAAGTTGGCATCATACCTCCATACCCTCAATATCTGACATTCCAGTGGGCACTCTCTTGAAATCATGTTTAAAAATCGGCGACAAAATTCTTTCCATAATCATAAGAACACACTTCATTTCGCTTTTACTCTTTCAGCGTGAATTTAATGAATGACCAGTTCGGTGAAATGTCAAATGGGTATATAAACTCCTGAAGAATTCATAGTTTTAAATCAGACAGTTAAAGCGAAAATATGTGATTTAAGTAAAACCATGTGTCTTTATGATGACTGTAAACGTATGCATATGGATGCTGCAACTTTGATGTTGGGGGTTTAACGTCTCACCTAGATCGAAGTCTACAGCTTCCCGGATGTGACGCTGGTAGAGGCTGATGTCTTCCTTGTCTGCTTCTGGAAACACAAGAAGGTCTTATTGCTATGTATGCCAGGAATAGTTGGGCCCATTGTGCAAATTATGTATGTTGGATGAGTTCACCTCCACATTATTGATGATGACATTTCTATACCATTTCAAAGTGGCACTTGAAGTAAGAAGGCTCGTGACTCTTCTACGCGAGAGTGGTTATCTCCCTTACCTGTGATGTAACCCTCCTGGACAAGGTCATCCACGTCTCTGGTTGCAAGCACCATCATGATCTCGTCGTCACTGACTTGACCGTCGCCGTCCACGTCAAACTCGCTCACGTCGCGTTTACCTGGTGATGCAAATAGTTACAATTTTTTTCTTGGGTATATTTCAGATTTGGACCGATCACGCCCTACTGACAAGTGAGAACAACAATCCACTGCCCAGTACTATGTCACGCCAAACCATTCAGATTGAGACATAAACGTTTTAGGTTATGTTTTCGACGTACATTTCGAACCATACTTTGATGGCGTTGGAAGATCATCCCGTAGGGGGCATGGGTGGCCCAGTCGTCCAAGGCGCCGCGATTTGCTGTGCATAGCTGCGTCCCTTGGGCACGCCAGAAACCTATGATTGTGGGTCATTACCAGCCAAGGGGTCATCACCCAATCCTAGATTGCCCCATACAACCTGTTGTTATCAGACATCAGCTCTATGCAGCTGTGTTGGCGCTCAAACCTTTCAGCAGTGAATAGATACATCCTGGACACACCTCGCGGATGATTCATGCCCACATCCTTGGCGTTATTGTATATATTGACAATTTCCCATAGTATCCAACCCATCCATCACGCAACAATGCATTTCTTCTTAAACGTGTTCCTCTGTATTTGTACGCAACAGATGTAATTAAAAAAGACACATCGTTTCAACAATATATGTAACTTGTAGTGTGTCTCTGGATAGTCTGCTCAGCCCATACAAATGTACTTTTCGATTGTCTCCCTTGGCCTCGCCAGAAACCTATGATTGTTGGTTCGAATCCCGTTTCGCCCTGATAATGTTACTAGGTTTGTCAGCACCATCCCCGTGAACGTGGGTTTCACCGAAGTGGTAAACGTGTGATACCCGCATCACTACAGGCTTTCCTCCAACATTAAGCTGACACGCCGCGATATAACTGGAAAACTGTTAAAAGCGGCGTTAAACCCAACTCACTCACTCAATCACGCCGATATGTACCGATATGTACCTCTTACAGTGTTGCCCAGTATTCTCACAGTATCAGGAAGCTAGCTATCCACATAAAGTAAAATCGAAAGAAAAGCGAGTCAATTTTAAGATTCCGATAATATCACGAGCATGTGTTTTTGAATCACTATCAAATAATGATACTACCAGACTCGTGATTATTCACGTGGGTGACCCCATACATGTTGTCGTTGTAGTGTTGGTGAATTATCAGATTGATAAGAAGAAAGAGGTTATCCTTGTTCGATATTTTCTTGACTTCAATAAATACCCCTTGTGTAAGGAGACAAGCACCTACCAGATTCAAGTGCTGCTTTGATAGTTGAGACAACTATCCTCCCGGCATCGACAACTTTTGTAGCGACGCGTCTGACGGCACCTCCAACTGCACGTACTACACTCCTGAACCGTGGCAAACGAATACCCCAAGAATCGGTTCCGGGCAGGGCCACCATGGCAGTCAGGAACAGGAGGACGAGGGCGATCTTCATCTAGGTAGAAACATGGGTTAATCCACTGATGTGTTCTGAGAACGTTAAATGTGTCATGTGCATGAAGGTTAGCAATTGCATAGAATCTAGGCTAAAAATGGAAGTATATGAGTGAGTATAAGCAATATCACGGCGGAAATGGTCTTCATACATTATACCAATGTAGGGAATGGATCCCGGGTCTTTTATTTGATAATCGAACGCTTAACCACAAGGCTTTAACTGGTAATGGGCACAAGACAGTGTGTCACTATTGTTAATACTAATGAAGTTCCATTGGCGCTGGACCGCCTCCGTGGTCTAGCTAGTGGTAGAGCGTCTGTCCTGGGAGCGGAAGGTCGGGGGTTCGATCCCAGACGCGTCCAAACAAAAGACGCTTAAAGATTATACTGTTATGACCCTGGCTGGCGCTCGGCTTTTTTGGGATAAAAAACGGAATGGCCTGCTCGGAGTCAGTATACTGTGAAAGAGTAGGGTATTCATGATCAACTTGGGCATGGCATTTTCGTTGGCTAGCACTATAAAGTCGGCATTAGTCCGGACTAGTACAAGCAGCCACACACACACACACACACACACACGTGCATGCACGTCGCTATATAAGTGCCAGAATCTTGAAGGCGACGTTAAGCCCCTTTTCACCTTACCTCCATTGACAATGTTTAACGCGGATTTGATGTCAGTGTTATACAATACCATATATTTTTTTAATTTGACGTTTACACGATATACGGCTTTTCCATTGGACGAGAGGTCGGTCACATGACCGCGAAATTGACATTCATAAGTGTATGAACGACACAATTTGACGTTCATACGTTTTTCACGAGACCGTGTTCTTGAAATGACGTAAACACTGACGGACTACTGCCACATTCCTGGGGAAACCCCTGGGAATTCCCTAGCACGAAAACATACATAAGCTTATTTCTGATCATTTAGAACCTTTAATCTTGGTCTCAGCATTTCAGTATACATTGAGAAACGTAAGAGAGCCTGACTGCATGATTGTTCACGAATATCCTCGCTACGGCCTATCCTAATGAACAAACGAAGAAATGCACATCTAAACTATCGTCAGTATCGACTCAATTCGTGCCTAGGCTGACATTGACCGTCTCCAGCAATCTATGAATTTACCTTAGTGTCTGTTTGACGCATCTTTAATCACCTTTCAATAATCGGTCAGTTGATCAATGATGACTAACACATGTAACCGCCACAGGTTCATTAACAACTTCGGAAATCCTCCCGTCACGATTATCGTGTCGGTCATTTTGACGTCTTGTACTTGATGTAAATGTATTACGACGCGCTGTCATTGTGGCTGACTTACTGAGGTAGTTCCTTACAGACCTTTCTCATCTAATGGGGATGTTATATGAACACATGTGTTGCGTAAGATGTTTCTGAAGAGCAAGTTCTGCATCCATACGCTCATGTCACCCCTCTCTTTTTGGGGAACTATTTTATTCCGCGATATAGCTAGTTGTTGTTTGGCTGTCAGTGTAAACATGAAGTCACACGTACTAAATACAATTGTATTTAGATCTTGGCCTACACCCTTTGAGGTAAAGATTGTGATAAAAAATTATAAGAATTGACTTTCTCTTTGTGTGAGTTCATTGGAGTATGAACCTTCATAGAGTTTGGCCCTCACTCTATGAAGGTTCATACTCCAATGAACTCACGCAAAGTGAAGGTCAATTCTTAAATGTCCACTTCAAAACATACAACATATATCACGACAAACTGAATGTATATATATTGACATACAAAACAATAATTGCCTCAAATGTATATGTACGCATTGGACTCAAACAGTAAAGGAAGGATAGGAAAGATATAATATAAACTCATACAAAGACACCTACCTTTGCAGTTCTGGATATCAGTGGACAATGTTGTGGATGGTCTGGTACATGTCGGGTATATATAGCATGGATATGTTGATGGTTACACGCACCACATACGGATGCAATGATCTTTCTGACATTATCTGGCCAGCCATCTGATAACTCAATTACTTATTGTAGAGACATCAATAGAATCGGTCTGGCAGTTTATTTCATAAATATCACACACCTGTAACAGATTGTTTTATATCCTAACATTATTGGAAAGAATTGTTTACATTTATGCACCAAAACTCTGTGAAAATTCCTTTTTGTACTGAAAATATGAACTGATGGGCAAACATCTAAATTGAATTTATCAAAAAAATAAAAAACGTTATCAAAATGTCCCCGACATACTGCAAACTTAAGATGAAAAATACACTATTAACCCCTAAGTACCCCTGTCAAACTCATCGAAAACAAACAGCCATTTGTTTCATTTTTAGCCACCATTAAAGGTGGTTATGTTTGTTGTGTAACGCCGAACTCAGCAATATTCCCGCAATATGACGACAGTCTGTAAATAATCGAGTCCGGATCAGACAATCCAGTAATTGACAACATGCGCACAATTGGGATACGATGACATGCATCAACCAAATCAGCGAACCTTACCATCCGATACGACTTTCTGGACAGCGACAATATGGAGTCAGTAATGAATCAATAGTTTCCTGCTGTCTACCATCTCTGTGTACCATCTCTCCTGAACTACGGCACTCAACACATCCAAAATGCACTATCGTCTGATCACAGAGGTTTTTTTTATATCATTGGCCACAGGAATATATATACTATGGTTTACGTACCCCATCGTTCATGCCATTAATCGGTAGCGGTTATCAAAATTCGTACCAAATGTATTCTTTTTGAATTTGTGTTATATATTATGATTTCACTTTTTAAGTTTGGTGCGAATCATCGAGTAAACTTAAGTAATATCAACAAAATCAAGACTACGTTTAAACTTTAAAGAGGATTTATTAAATTAACACTACGTATTATCAAGAGTGTCTCAGCGATAACAGCCTGTATGCGTATTTATTAATTTAAAATGAATAATCATAATGTGAGGACTTCCTTTGACGATACACAGTGGAAGGATATTGATTTTGTTTAATGTCATAAGACAAACTGTTGTTGATATATAGATCAAACAGCGGACTTTTATTGTTGATACATCAAGTAAATGTTGGTACTGTAAGTTATACAAATCATTATTATATACTGATAGCTATTTCATGGATGTGAATCTGAGAAAGTTTAGAACATCACTGTCACAATTTAGATGTAGTTCACATATATTCCTGAATAAACCAAGAAGTAGGAGATTGTGTTCACAATGTAACTCCGATTCAGTGGAGTATGTATGTTATAAGCTGTAGCAGTATCACTTGGGGTACATGCGGTTGTATGCGTCCAGCGTTAGGTTTTAAAGCACGAATTCATCTAACCGACATGGTTTAATATGAAATTGTAAATGAATTAAAACAAATTCAAAATTGATAGAAAACAGCTGTTTGATTGAGCTTGGGTTAACTTGTGCTATTTTATCGAGATCATGTGAACCAATTAGATCTCATCATTCTGACATGGAGGTAACATTTTTTATTGGTTACCTGAGACAACTATACCTAAAACAGTTCTAATTTGTACTTTATGTAAATAACGGTCCAAATGTAACCAGAAATCGTTTCTATGAAATCAGGTCATACAAATATTGTTCGAAACTTATCAATGTATATACACTCTTCAAAAAAACGAAACGCACAGGTAGTATGTATTTCATTGAACCTGACTACACAAAACATCCGGTATATAAATTGGATATATGTAATTGGAAAATGTTGATGACCTGATATTCGACAAACGGTACGTCAAAACACAGCCATTGTCAATTTGCAATGTTTTAAACGGCATTGTTTTCACACTTGTTCAAAAATGTCATGGAAGAAAACAGTTAAGCAAAATGCACATGCAAGTTATGGCATTTGGAACTCGTGGTAGTGGCTATATAAAGGCAAGCATAAGCCAATAATTTGTCATTCAATTGTCAACATTTTTCAAGTTCGAAAATGCCGAAATTCCGCGCTGCCGATCGGAACATCGCCATGGGACTATCCAAAGTGGGGGTTCTTTTGTTGCACGCCATTTCAACGTCCACCACAGCACCATTTGCCGCCTTTGGGACCGATACACACAGTTCTAGTCCATTGCAGACCGTCCGAGATCCGACCGACCAAGAGTTGCCACCCCTGCACAGGATCGGTACATTCAACTGTTCCACCTACGTCATCGCAATACTACAGCTGCGGAGACTGCAGGACGCATCCCTGGTTTGAGTAGGATATCGGACCAGACTGTCAGGAACCATCTTTGCGGGGCTGGAATCCGACCCAGAAGACCAGTTATCGTCCCTGTTTTGCAACAGATCCATCGACAACGACGCTTGTGTTGGTGCCATACCTTACAGCCTTGGAATTTGAGAAACTGGAGAAGAGTGTGGTTTTGCGATGAATCATGATCTCTTCTTCACCGGCGAGATGGAACACAACGTGTTTATCGTTGTCAAAATGAGCGTTTTGCCCCACATTGTGTACGTGAATTCGACAATTTCGGTGGCGGTAGTGTACATGGTGTACATGGTGTGGAGGGGCATATCCTACACCACGAGATCTGTTGTGGTTGTTGTTCAGGGAAATGTGACAGCAAATCGCTACATGAATCAAATTCTTCAACCTCGCCTTCTTCCAATCATTGACCGTCAGAGGACAGCTGTTTCAACAGGACAACGCTCCACCGCACACAGCTCGTGTCACGGTAGACTACCGTCATAATGCCAAAATCAACAATTTTCCCTGTCCGTCGAGATCTCCAGATCTCAACCAAATCGAACATCTCTGGGATGAACTCGATCGACGTGTACGTAAGCGTCAAAACACGCCACAGACACTCCCACAACTGGCCAACGCGTTACAAGCAGAATGGCGCAGAATTCCGCAGGACAGAATTCGTACACTTATCCAGTCAGTGCCGAGGAGATGCAGAGCCGTGATTGCTGCCCGGGGTGGTCACACGAGATACTGAGTTCAGCGCAACCTTGTTACCTTATGTGACATGACAATGAACAGTTTTCAATGCCTTTGTAGAGCGACAATATGTGACTATCGAGCTCCAAAAATGCATATTTGTATCTATGATATTAAATTAAATATATCGACTTTATTAGGTTCAATAAATTTACTACAAATCTACGTGTGCGTTTCCTTTTTTGAAGAGTGTATATATCATTTCATGTCAATGAGAAAGTAATTCGTGTGTACAGTCTCTCTGCTTATACAGTGTTAGAAATGTACTGTTGGCCTGTGGCCTGTGGCCTGTATTGAGATAAAAAAAAGAAGATTGATTGATTGATTGCTGATATCTATTGTTGACTTTGTGATATTGGTTTTCTCATCTTCCTTCACATTAAATATAAACTATAAGTGCGGTCATTCTATTGCTCTGTCGTATTCTGTTACCAGCACAATACCTGGGAAATGAACGGCTGATACTGAATGTTGTCACTGTAAGGCGGAGCAGCCCTCTTTCAACACGACAGCTGATGTTGTCAAAAGCTAGAATGATTGATTTCTTCAAATGCTTGCGCTGATTAATGTGATCGTGGTGTCTGTACAATACAGTGCCATACTGCATACAGCAACAGCCTGTCAGCGCTTGACGTCAGTTCAGACCAATAGAGTTAATTCTGCTTTGTGTGTCATGTGTGTGAGTGTGCCTGTAAGCGCGCGTGTGTGCCTGCGCGTGTACATGTGTGTGTGTGTGTGGGGGGGGGGGGGGGGGGGGGGGGGGGTGACATATGGATTGGTTTGTTGAGTGCCTCTGTGTGTACGTCAAAACTTGCAATTGAGAACATGACCATAACGACACAGCAACAACAGCATTTCAAACGAAACACCTAACAAAATTCCTCAGTTGCAAAAATAGTATTGAAAGGTCTATTATGGTTCATCTTTAACAATGTACAACTAAATGTAGTACTGGTCTACAGTGGCGGCACTCTTCTGCACAGTGTGGATATATAACATATTATTGAATTATACTCACGCAGTACCAATGTGTGGAATAAAACGCAGAAGTTACAACCGGACACTGTAACAGTGAACCATTGAGGAAGTTGGGTTTCATACTTTACTTGGGCGTGGAATCTCAACAAACGGTTGGCAATTCCAAATCCCGATTTCATGTAAAGCGATGCTATACAGCGTGTAGCTGTTCCTCAATAATTTAAATAAACGTGGAAATATATTTTAAACAACCAACCAGATGAACAACTATAAATACAATTTGTGAAATTCAGCAGCGTCAACACAACATGGCATTTGGTACTACTCTGTGACGTCATATAGCTGTGTGACTTAAGAACTAACGTTGCATGGCTCGATTCATTGCCGTAGGATGTCCGTTTGAAGAATGCTGACGTAGTCTCTGTGTTTGATTGAATTAATATTCTATACAGTATTGCTAGAAATATACAAACAGGGATCAAACCGATCATTGATCCTACCTCAAAAATAATACAGATCTCTTAACCTTTCGAAAATATTACTCTCGACCAATCACATGGTCGCTGATTCCGTGTTATCTGTGTCACTGTCATGGCAGAATAGAACCAACTGTAATCAAATGAGATTCGACCTACGATCTGAATCCTGTAACCATTTCTATCATGGAAACGAATCGCATCCACGATCGAAACGTCTAAATTGAAGACACTGTAGGATTATCGTCAATATGACTGTGTTTGTGGTTGTAGAATATAATATGTTTCTGCTAGCAGAATTACTAACAGTTCATCATGATATTTCCATAAAATTAGTATGCAACCAATTTATGTTTCATTAAAATAAGCAATCTAGAATAAATCAATTGTTCCGTTTTACAAGAAAGAAATGGCATAAGGGAGAGAATTTGATGTCAACTTGTTTACCTGATCAAGGAGTAAGTATATAGTCTGAAACGTTGTGTTCCTCATAATAAAGAACGTGACATCCATAAATTCTCTTCCTCGTGTGTATCACTTCATAATGCCTTTCAAAGACTTGAGAAATGACAACTGTTTTAACCTGAGTACTATCCTAAATACTCGCAAATATTTAAGCTTGCTACTAAAGAAGATAAAAAGTAAACAGCTTGTAAGTAAGGATAAGATATATGGATGAACAACATCTACTTCTAAATGCCTCTCAATGAAATAGCTGGTAGTTAAAAGTACAACAAACAACACATGTTCCTATTTTCAATTTTTGCAGCTAAATTAGAACACTCTTTATTCTTCTGCAGCAGCTTAAAGCAGGATTTATGCTCTGCTTGCCCTAATCATCTTGATTGGTTCATTGAAAATGTGTAATATGTGGCGAAAAATTGCTTTATATTGACACCATTCTGAACGTTCTGACGTTTTGGAACCCGTATGTGGATGTTCTCACAGAATATGAAATACATGGACAATGACATATTATTTAAACCGTAACAATATCTCACGCGTAGTTTGTCATTGCGATACTATTTCCATGTCGTGATTCGTCCTTTTCAATTGTCTAGAAGTAACAAAAACAGAACTATGAGCGGAACGAAGCCAATGCATCTTTATTCATCGCTATATCGCTGATGGTTACTGCAACAACTATGCATCATTATGTATAGTTAAAACATGTCATACATAGTTAAAATTATATATTTTTTTATTTCGAAGTTTACACGACATAAGGCTATTCCATTGGACGAGAGGTCGGTCACATGACCGCGAAATTGTCGTTCACAAATGTGTGAACGACACAATTTGACGTTCATACGTTTTTTACGAGACCGTGTTCTTGAAATGACGTAAACACTGACGGACTACTTCCACATTCCCGGGGAAACCCCTGGGAATTCCCTAGCACAAATACACACATAAGCGTTCTTTCTGATCATTTAGACCCTTTAATCTTGAACTCAGCGTTTCGGTATACATTGAGAAATGTCAGAGAACATGACTGTTTATTGTTCACGAATATCCTCGCTACGACCAATCCTAATGAATAAAACGAAGAAATGCACTTCCAAACTATCGTAGAATCGAGTCAAGGCTGACATTGACGGTCTACAGCAATCTAAGATTTTACCTTAGTCTCTACTTGACACATCTTTAATCACCTTCCAATGATCGACCAGTTGATCAATGATGACTAAAACATGTAACTGCCACAGGCTCATTTACAACTTCCGAAATCTCTGCCGTCACGTTTATGGCGTAGGCCTTGTCTTGTACTTGATGTAAATGTATTACGACGCGCTGTCATTGTGACTAACTTACTGAGGAAGCTCTTAACAGACCTTTCTCATCTAATAGGGATATTATTTGAGTACATTAGTTTACAGAAACTACAAAAGTTGTCCCTGTTGAGCATATACATACGCTCATGTCACTTCTCGTTTTGAAGAAACTATTTTATTCCGCTATACAGCTGTCAGTGTAAACATGAAGTCACACGTACTAAATATAATATTGTCTATAGATCAAGGTCTACGTCCCTTGAGGTAAAAATAGTGATATAGAAATTAGCTCCGACGTTCATACAGTTTGGCCCTCAGTCTATGATCGAGGGTTCATACTTCAATGAACTCACACAAAGTAAAAGTCAGTTCTTACATATATTGTTAAGATATAATTATGAGTTGATATATTAAACCACAATGCATTAACAAACTATGCGTAGTTGGCCAGTACGAGTTTATCTTCGTGTTGTATTCGAATTTTCGGCCGTACGCCAAACATCATAAGTATACCGAGGCTTATTTTGAAACAAGACATTGATTGGTTACATAAATATTTACTTTGAGCAGAATATTGCTTGAATTTTGTTGCCCCGAATCCAAAATCAAGGAGGCCTTTGGTGGCGTTTTATTCAAATGATAGAGCACGCTGAAGGGTTAGCTTTCTGCGCAAAGGCGATTTAATGCTGAATTTGACAAACATAGAACTCAATGTAAGTTTCATGACGATATGGGTAGCAGTTTTGATAACAGAGTGTATGTTTACAGGTTGAAGTGGAGTAGAGTCGAATCTGGTGTAAAGAAAATATTTTAAGTTAATACTGTACAGTGTCCACCTTCCTAAGAAATGTTGACAGGGCTTTTCTACCTGTGCACACAACTGTTGAATGGACTTCTCAGCCTGTGTCTATTGGTCACGTGTCAGCTCAACAGTATAGTACACATGCCCTCTTACCTGTATATTATTCAAGCCCAATTCATCTTCAAACTATCAACACTGCCATCTCATCGATTGTTGAGGTCGTATAATCATACTCAGTAATATCTCATGATTATATTTGAAAGCTGATTTCTTTTAGTAAAAGAAACGTTCATCAATCTCTGGTTTTTACGACATATCATTGATCTTGGAACATATGGATTTTTAACGAAGAAGATGGGCTTCATTGTAGTTGAATGATAGGATTAAACGTGTATTATATTTCCAATCTGCCCCTGATGAGAAGCCGGCCTTTTGATGCTGATGGGTTTCTACCCGCCAATACTCTGCCCTCCAGTGGGAACTACTAACCGTCACCATATTTCCGGTAACGTAAAGAGCGATCCATCAATTAGGCAGCCACCGGCAACTTAGGAGGGCCTTGCATGGGGAATAACAGTTCATAATCTCGGGAGGGACAATTATGCATTGTTACTACGCTTGGTCGTGGCATAATATGAAATTGTCAGTGCCCTGAACATGTATACCATCGTCGGCGTCGTGACAGTAGCGACTTCAAGCACCACCTCAGCACGTGTACGTCTTTGTGGGTGATCAGGTCTACATCAATCAAGTCGCGCTGGTTGATGGCAAGCAATAAGTCGTTAACTTCAATAAAGGAAATTTGAACGCGGCGACCTTTATTTATATACCTGTTCCGGGTGATTGGTATTATTTTCCAGGCCCTAATCGAGTGTTTACAGAATTTCAACACGCAAGCGAACAGGTAATAATTCTATTTTCACAAGCCCTAATAACGGATTTTGTAATAACATTTGATCAAGAGATATTTAGCAGTGGCCATGTAACTATGTGCGTTTCTCAGTTTTAACCTCTTAGTGTTGACTGGTCATACTGTATCTACTCCAAGTCTTACAACAAGACTGTGAAATTCATGGCCACCCACGCAACCCTCCCTGCACGGGTATTTCATTTGAAGACGCTAAGACACGAACAAGGACAATACACTGCTCTATGGGCGTTTAGAGTACACGTTCAATAATTCAAGTGAAAGATTTTTCAGGGGTGAGGACTACCGTTACATACTAGGTTTCAAGTTCATATTTTTTAAAATCTACATCTGGAGAATGTCACCAAGACTCATATAACTAGGTCAAGGCGTGACGGCGGCCCGGTGAATGTCGTCATCTACATCATGGAACACGACGTGAACATCCTGTTGGTGGTCAGTACATTGTCTGGTAAGTCGTCATGCGGTGTTCCCAACCGTCTATGAATTTATCTACAATTACCTGTACATCACGCGTCCTTCTATTGATTATCCATCTATCTTCGTCCTTTCTTCCTTCCGTTTGTCAGTCCATCTTCCATCCATTCATCGTCAATCGATCCATCAATTCAATCATGTATCACAATAGCCGTTGATTCATTCATCAAGTTTCCCGTCCGTCTTCCCTTCAACAACCCTTCCATTCATTCATCCATATTTCCGTCCATCAATTACGCCTGTTCCATGCACGCAATGTCCGTGTATAATTACACATGCATACATTTCCATGTCCATCTATTCCCTCCAGAGGTCCGTGTTGATATACAGCGGTATGCGGTTTTGATATACATATTTGTGTGATGCTGAGATATAATATTATTATTTGATATAAAGAAGTAGTAGTTGTAGAATTATACACATGTACATGCGCAGAGGTATCTATTGTTAGTATATATGGGTTATATAGATATTTCTACACGAGTGCTTTCCAGATGTCATGTAACTGACAACGAGCTATTTCAAAAAGTATCTAACGAGCGAACGCGAGTTAGTTACGTGTTGAAACAACGAGTTGTAATATTAAATGATATCTGACAGACACGAGTGCAGTAATCTGATCCTAACGCACCCTAAACTCGCACCATTTTAGCATCGAATCGATGCATATGTTGTCAATTATCATGATCACTGTGATGCATTAATGCATAACGCAACGGTCTTTGTGACGTCATCCGGCCTCGTACTGCTCATACCTTGTGTGACCCTCTACAATAACAGCTTCCGCTATATCTGTAGGTTATCAAGGTGATGATAATGCAAACTAGACAAGACCAAAGAGCATTTATTGACTCTCTAAAACCAACGACCGTTGACACTGACGTATCAGTACTAGGTAAGGATAAGATACTACATCGCTTGCTTGATAACGGTTAGAACCTACACCGAAACGTCGCTCTTAGTTGTAAGAAAGAAGATATACATGGGTATATGTTGCTGCTTTCAGTATTTCAGATGTCCGACTTGGCCTCAGTTGACATCCGGGTCCAGGCGCCTACCGTCGCCAACAGCACATACACCACCCTCCAGTGTGTCATTAGTCTCCAACCTGGTGAACGACTTGAGGGAATTCTCTTCACCAGGAAAACATCAAAGTGGGAATTCTTTCTACAAATCGGAGCATTTTCTCCATCTTTCAATTCTATCGTGACAGACTTCGAGTTGAAGGACTTTGTTTCACTGATGTACCAGAATGGCGCGGCTTACCTGAAGATTAAAAACTTCGACCAATCTTTCGAGGGCTTATACAACTGCTCGTTGTCGTATTGGAGAGGAGATAACGTTTCCGTGCGGACTGACGACGTCATTTATGTGTCTGCTACAGGTAGGTTTTACAAACATCCAGAACGTACACCCCAATAGATCAGTTCATTCAGTACACACGGACATAATACACCCCTTCCGTACACCCATCAGTACATCCCTTTAGAACCCACCGCCAGTACATGCACACATAACCTGTTCATACCAATACCGCAAGTGATCCCGTGAGTCGCCCCACCAGTACACCTATCAGTACATCCCTTGAGAACCCATCGCCAGTACATGCACACATGACCTGTTCATACCAATACCGCAAGTGATCCCGTCACTCGCCCCACCAATGCTCATGATGTCAATCACTGGATTTTCTGGTCCAGACACGATTATTTACATATAGCTGATTGCGGCGTTAAACAACAAACAAAGAAAACCTAGCATAGGTAGCATTCCACCCGTATATCGATTAAGATTTTGTTGTATCAGAGAGATCAAAGGCGATGTCTCATTGCTCCATAAAAGGTAATACCGTGAGCTGTTGTGTGAATAAAGCCTAGAAGTCAAACGTTTGCAAGCACCATAAAGGGTTCGGATTCAATGGTTCGATTACTCGAGCAATATTGCGTTATTATTGCTAAACCGACGCAACCCTCATAAATATGTGATCCTGCTATGACGTGTCATTGAAATTGTATTCATATTTGCTTCACCGATAACTCCTTAACTCTCACTCCTACTGCCACACACTCAAACATTCACCCCATCACTCTATCTGCCCCAGGGGGCACGGGTGGCCCAGTCGTCTAAGGCGCCGCGATTCGCTGTGCAGAGTTGCGTCCCTTGGGCACGCCAGAAACCTATGATTGTGGGTTCGAATCCCGGTTCGCCCTGATTATGTTTCTAGGTTTGTCAGCACCATACCCGTGCTCGTGGGTTTCACCGAAGTGGTAAACGTCTGCATCACTTCGGGCTTTCCTCCCACATTAAGCTGACACGCCGCGATATAACTGTAATACTGTTAAAAGCGGCGTTAAACCAAACTCACACACTCACTCACTCACTCACTATCTGCCCCATCATCTATTCTTTCACTTACTCAATCACCCACTCTTTCTCTCACTCATTCATTCACCTCATCCCTTACTTGCTGAGTCGATAACTCACTCACTCCCCGCTTTTTCTTTCACCCAATTATGTTTTGTGTACTTATAGAATTTTTTTTGTTTTCATTCAACAGATCCATATCCTGTGTCATCAACGTCACCCACGGCATCGATGTCTCACAGTACAACATCTACGTCAGTGGAGCGATCATCAACTATTACCTTAAGTTCATCAACAACATCAGCATCAGCATCGTTATTATCGTTACAAACACAAACGTCTACGCGAAGATCATCGGAAGGGACAACAATGCCGTTGCCAACTTCAGGTTCCACGTCGTTAGCTTCCAGAACAACACAAACCACGGTGCAGACATCACCAACAACACAATGGAGCTCCGGTGGCGTGGACGACACATCACAAATTACATCTACCGGAACAACATTCACAGCGACGGCGGTAAAAACGGATGTACGCACACCAACATCATCACAGAGGGTTTCGCCAAGTACAGTTGTACCATTTACAGCAACGTTATCTACACGTGCATCAGCGATGACTTTAGAAACAACAGCAGAAACCTCAACAGATACAATCATCACAGTAACATCACTGGGGTCAATAGCTGCGTCATCGGGAACGTCTCTAGTACCTATGGAGATCTCATCATTACAGACACCGACGGGCACTTCATCATCTCAAGAACAAGTCGACATCTCAACATTACAAGTTCCAGGGGACATCTCAACATCACAAGTGGTAGGGGACATCTCAACATCACAAGTGATAGGAGACATCTCAACATTACAAGTTCCAGGGGACATCTCAACATCACAAGTGGTAGGGGACATCTCAACATCACAAGTGATAGGAGACATCTCAACATTACAAGTTCCAGGGGACATCTCAACATCACAAATGGTAGGGGACATCTCAACATCACAAGTGGTAGGAGACATCTCAACATTACAAGTTCCAGGGGACATCTCAACATCACAAGTGGTAGGGGACATCTCAACATCACAAGTGATAGGAGACATCTCAACATCACAAGTGGTAGGAGACATCTCAACATCACAAGTGGTAGGAGACATCTCAACATCACAAGTGATAGGAGACATCTCAACATCAAAAGTGGTAGGAGACATCTCAACATCACAAGTGATAGGAGACATCTCAACATTACAAGTTCCAGGGGACATCTCAACATCACAAGTGGTAGGGGACATCTCAACATCACAAGTGATAGGAGACATCTCAAAATCACAAGTGATAGGAGACATCTCAACATCACAAGTATTAGGGGACATGTCAACATCACAAGTGTTAGGGGACATCTCAACATCACAAGTATTAGGGGACATGTCAACATCACAAGTGTTAGGGGACATCTCAACATCACAAGTGTTAGGGGACATCTCAACATCACAAGTGTTAGGGGACATCTCAACATCACAAGTATTAGGGGACATGTCAACATCACAAGTGTTAGGGGACATGTCAACATCACAAGTGTTAGGGGACATCTCAACATCACAAGTGTTAGGGGACATCTCAACATCACAAGTGATAGGAGACATCTCAACATCACAAGTGATAGGAGACATCTCAACATCACAAGTGTTAGGGGACATGTCAACATCACAAGTGATAGGAGACATCTCAACATCACAAGTGTTAGGGGACATGTCAACATCACAAGTGTTAGGGGACATGTCAACATCACAAGTACCAGTGGGCATCTCAACATCACAAGTGTTAGGGGACATCTCAACATCACAAGTGTTAGGGGACATGTCAACATCACAAGTGTTAGGGGACATGTCAACATCACAAGTGTTAGGGGACATCTCAACATCACAAGTGTTAGGGGACATGTCAACATCACAAATACCAGTGGGCATCTCAACATCACAAACACCAGTGGACATCTCAACATCACAAGTGTTAGGGGACATCTCAACATCACAAGTACCAGTGGACATCTCAACATCACAAGTACCAGTGGACATCTCAACATCACAAGTGTTAGCGGACATCTCAACATCACAAGTCTTAGGGGGCATCTCAACATCTCAAGTACCGGGGGACATCACAACATCACAAGTATTCGTGGACATTTCAACATCACAAGTACTCGCGGACGTCTCAACATCACAAGTATTACTGGACATCTCAACATCACAAGTACCGACGGACATCTCAACATCACAAGTGTTAGCGGACATCTCAACATCACAAGTCTTAGGGGGCATCTCAACATCACAAGTGTTAGGGGAAATGTCAACATCACAAGTACCAGTGGACATCTCAACATCACAAGTACCGATGGACATCTCAACATCAAAAGTATTAGCGGATATCTCAACATCACGAATACCGACGGAGATGTCAACTTTACAAGTACTAGTGAACATCTCAACATCACAAGTGTTAGCGAACATCTCAACATCACAAGTACCGGTGGACATCACAACCTCACAAGTACCGGTGGACATTTTACTATCACAAGTAATGACGACCTCCAAAACTGATAAAAGCGTTGTATCGGCAGTTGAAATATCAACATCATCTTCTGATTCACCAACTTTTGATGTGACAGCGCCTTCTACATCATCAGTTAGATATGTAATTTCTCATTCTTCTACATCAGCTACTGCTTTGGCATCAGCTTTTACATCATTAACACCCTCTGTATCCAATACAGATTCTACACCTTCCACATCCTCATCCATAAAAGTGACATTACTCTATTCATCATCAAATATGGATGTGGCCAGAGCTTCTACATCATCAACACCAGATGGGAAAGTGTCTTCTATATCCACTTCAGTTGTGACAGCGGCTTCTACGCCATCAACAATATACGTGACGTCACCTTCTTCATCATCAATTTCAGATGTGACATCGTCTTCTATATCACGTTCACGTATTGCATCGCCAACCACATTGCCAACAAAATATGTGAAATGCCCTTCTACGTCCCCGGAAGATGTAACGTCGTCTCCAACATCATCAACTGAAGAAATGATGCCATATTCTATATCACCAAATACAGCTGTGACGTCACCTTCACCATCATCTACATATGTGACATCACCTTCCACATCAACTGCGGATGTGACATCGCCTTCAAACTCATCGACTACGGATATTATTTCGCCTTCTATGTCAGCAACAACAGATAAGACATCATATTTTACAATATCGACTATGGATGTGACACCGCCTTCATCAACAACTCCAAAATTGACATCACCCTCAACATCAATAAGCTCTTTTGCGACACCAGGTGTGTCCCCGACGTCTTCAACGTTCTATTCTACTTCTGAATCGACAAGTACAGGAACAAGTCCATCAACTAATGTAACACTTATATCAACCGCCACCACTTCTCCTGTGACATTGGCGACCATACGTTTCACGTCATCAACGTCACCGAGGACGACGTCACCTACACCAACAGCAAACAGCCAATCAGTCACGCCTCAAGTTCATGCCTCAGCTACAGGTAGGATGTAGCCACTGTAGGCATATCAACAATCCCTAGAGTGATGTGAATAGTTTTCATAGTCACAATCATAGTTAGTAAAGTGATTGGTACAAATTAGATATTTATTGATAGCTATTGCGGTGATGTGACACATATAGTTATTTTGGTACTTGGGATATTCAAAAATATCCACCGTGTAGCTCTTGTTAATGTCAATATTGAAAACAACTATTTTAGTGACACATCATTATTCACTTTTTTTTGTTGGAAAGTGTTTTTTTCTTGGTTCCGTGAACTTAACGGAGGGTTACATCTTCAGAAATGTTTCAAAAATGTCAATTTATCAATATTTTAGTGCCTGTGATGAAGTGGGTGCTGGTCGCTGTTGGTTGCGTGATTGGTATCGGCATCGTCGTCGTAGGAGTGGTCATCTGGTACAGAAAAACACGTACGTATCACAGCATGATAAATAGCGTAACCTATATCAGAGCATATGTGTAAACTACAACCGCGACAGACGTCCCTCCATATAAGTTTTTGACCACCTAAGTTACAACATATATCAACAGTATTGATGTATTTGTCTCATCAACAGGAGGCCACCCATTAATACTCCGTTGGCGGTATGAGTTTTACCCAAACGGAGACCTGAGGCCTTCGTCTTCAGAGATACAGGTATGCTATCGGCCCCTTTGTGCACATAAACTTTATTACATTATGCACCTCCGATGCACATATTGAAAAAGCACAACAACAAAAATTACGAAATACAGTTAAATTCGTTGGTATAAATGGCATTGAGTTCTCAGAAGCCAACTCTTGCTGTGCAGAGTTGCATGCCTTAGTCGTTGCTAAGATGCGCATGCCAGAGTCAGTCATTACTGATCATTGGTCTATCAACCTTGTGGGTCTTGCAATAGTGTCAGAGAGCTCGATCCGCATTCCTTTAGCCAAATAGTGAGATGATATAACTGTAAAGCTGTTCACGAAGTCGTTAAGCCAAACTCAATGACACCGTATTAATGTTAAACTATCCACGATTGATCGCGGATACTAGGGAGGACGACCGGTCCGCATTATCCTATGTTTATCAGCTGACCAATGAAGATCGGTTGGTACGGTTCGGTTACTTTGTTCCCTTTGTCGCATCGACGCATGCTGCCACTGGTTTGACTGACCCACATTATATTAATGACAGGCCGCCGGGCAAAAGAAAATTGTATTTGACCAAGCAATTACAAAGGTTATGAAAATGTTACGAGGCTAAAAACATTCGCTGAAAAACTGAAAATGTAAGCTTCAAAACACAAATATATGATACCCATTTCGATCTTCCCAATATAATAAACATTTCTTTTTTTCTTTTAAGCTAACATCAAACATGGGTGGGTACTTTCTTTTGCCCGGTAGTTTACTGAGAATATTGCTGACTTTGGTGCACATAATAACGCTTTGTTAGACCACCCACGACAAAAAATATGGCTGTGATGTAATCCATGGGAGACTTGAGTTGTGGGAAATGGCCCTGGCCTATGCTGGAAGGACAGTATAGGTTCTTTCCTGGTAGTCGTATGCCAAAACATGTACGATTTCTTGCTTTATCTACAAATGATCCTCATTGCCATCGTAAATATCTCATGTTCATAATAATAACAAAAATGATGATAACATTAATAATGTAAAATAAAATGTTGATTGATGTGGATGCTCTTGGTGACAGAATTTATTGTGCGCTTTGGCACACATCTATTTGTCTGTTGGTGTTCTTGCGAAGCATGTCAAGACGAAATGATGAAAACAAGGCTTTCCACAGTTTTCTTAAACGAGTCAGTGTTGTAGGACATGATCTCAATATTTATTTTGAGTTTTTTGATGGGTCTGTATTGCTGTACGGTACAGAAATGTGTGTCATCCAAGCGAAGTGCCATATTTAATTGCAGCAGGCTTGGTTTTTCATGGGAAGGCTCTCTGTACGACCACTGCATTGAGTTAATGTGCAGTGTGTTCAGAAGTTCAGCACCCTGCAGTCCTTCGCTTAGATGTAAAACAGAAGGCTTTCTGTTTGCTGCTCAGGACCAGTCACTTCCCATTCGAAACTCTAAATGTGTGATTTTGCATCAAAATATGAAAATGAATACACATTATGCAATGAATTTAACGAGACTGTCCAACACATTGTCAGTGGATGCCCTGCTTTGGCACAAACACATTGTCTTATGCGACATGATTGCATGACTCGATCCTTTTATTACCGTCTTCGCTATGCTTGGGATTTTGAAACAGAGGTCGATCCATGGTACGAGTCAGAATATATAGAACTATAAATTTCTTTAGAATAGGCCCGTATACAGCCTCAGACATATCCAGGCCAACAAACCTGATCCTGTCCTTTTTGATAAATCCAATGAAATCTTCGATGTCATTGAATTGTCTGTCCCTTTTGACACTAACGTGATCGACAAGATTCAGGGAAAACGTGGCAAATGTGCTGACTTCGCTTTCGAACTGTCTCAGTTGCATCCCAAGTATCAAGTTGTCCGACTCATCATTGTTCTCGGTGCCTCAGGTTTGTTAATTCCCAATCTGTTGACTGACATAGGGAGAGTACCCGGGTTTGCTGCCAGGAATACAGCCCCTTTAACAATCTGGGTAATGCAGAAGGCTGCAGTGTTTGGGAGTCTTCACATTCTCCGAAAAGTCCTGGGTGGGTTCGACTGGGCAGGTTTTCCTGGGAGAAGTCCCATTCGCTGTCTAGGCTGCGTGTAGAGGGAGCACGGGCCCCGAGCTGATGATGAGCCTAACCAGACTGACTGTGCCAGGATCATCCAAACCCAGCTTTGCACCATTTTTATTGTAATATGTACATAATAATAATCATAATCATAAGAGGATGTTAAAGATAACAGCAAAAATACTCATTGGCAATTTAATCTTCTTAGGTAAATATATGTTAAGTGTATTTCGCTAAAATGTACTTCTTTTTTTATTTTAGACTTGACTGAAGAATTCATTGATTATTTTGGAATCTTGGATTCTCTGGCCTGAGGTTCAGGCTGAGGCTCCATTGCGTGTCCGTCTTTTAGGCGGGATGTGATTCTATACCACAGCACAAAGACGCCTCTCTTGCTGCAAAATATGCCTTTGGAAGAACAGTTAAGCCTGTGGAATGAGATATACTGGATAGTAGCATGGTGTGTTGCAGCCATTTTCATTTTAATAGAATGGGGTGGTCCTGACGTCACGAACACATGCTATTTGGGATTATGTGTTGGCATTTCACTCTGGTTTCGTCACGTCAGTACAGCAGTGGAGAGTGTAGTGGCCCCTGTCATTCTGTTGCTGTATTGCGGGGTATAAATGTGCCGATAAGTGCCAATAAAGTTACACCTGTATAGTTAACGTGGTACACCTGAACAGATAACAGAAAACACCTGAATGGTGATGTATCTGTAAAGTTAACCGGAAACCCCCATTTATCGTTAACCAGAAACACCTGTACAGTTAACCTGATACACCTGTAAAGTTAACCGGATACATCTTTATAGTTAACCGGAAACACCTGTATATTTAACCTGATACACCTCTATAGTTAACATAATACACCTGTATAGTAAACATGGTAGACCTGTATAGTTAACCGGATACGCCTGTATAGTTAAACGGATACATCTATATAGTTAACATGGTAGACCTGTATAGTTAACCGGATACGCCTGTATAGTTAACCGGATACGCCTGTAAAGTTAACCGGTTACACCTGTATAGTTAATGGGATACAACCTTAGTTTTAACCGGATACACCTGTATAGTTAACCGGATCCATCTGTATTGTTAACCGGAAACACCTGTGTAGTTAATCCGATACACCTGTATAGTTAACGAATACACCTGTATAGTAAACCGTATACACCTCTTTAGTAAACCGGATACATCTGTATAGTAATCCGGATACACCTGTATAGTAAGCATAATAGACCTGTATAGTTGACCGGATACACCTGTATAGTTAACATGATACACCTGTATAGTTAACATGATACACCTGTATAGTTAACATGATACACTTGTATAATTGACCGAATACACCTGTATAGTTAACATGATACACCTGTATAGTCAACATGATACACTTGTATAGTTGACTGGATATACCTGTATAGTACCAGACCAACATCAGTGTGTGCTGTATATGGTCTGACTGAGTCAAATTGAAGCTGTGTTGATTCAAGAAAAATCAACATTCCATTTCTCTTCTATTTAAATCGAACAAATAAAGCATCTGACAATGCAATAAACACGTAGTTTGTTTGTTGTTTAGCGCTATTCCGACTATACGATGGCGTTCTGTAAATAATCTAGAGTGAGTGAGTGAGTTTGGTTTTACGCCGCTTTTAGCAATATTCCAGCAACATCACGGCGGGGGATACCAGAAATGGGCTTCACGCATTGTACCCATGTCGGTATTCGAACCCGGGTCTTCGGCGTGACGAGCGAACGCTTTAACCACAAGGCTACCCGAACGCCCCTAAATAATCTAGAAAAGACAATACAGTGATTGACATCACACAACTGGGTTATGACATGCAATCAACCAAGTCAGCTACCCTGGTCATCCTGAACATTTAATACCAGGTTACCCGGAATCCCCAAGGGTATAAAATGTATTATTTATTATAAAAGTTCTTTTTTATAAGGCGCATTCATTCTTGTCAGTTTGATGTTGGAGGAAAACCCGAAGTATTGTACAAGTACGTTTGACATTTACCACTTTGGTGAAAACCCGAGAGCATTGTTTTTGTGATGACAGACCATAGAAACATATTCGGGTCGAACCCGGGATTCGAACCCATTATCATAGACTTCTGGCAGGCCTATGTCTTTATAACAAAGTAGGCGGCGGGGTGATTTGAACAAATAGTTGATATGATATCGCTTGAGAAGAATTCACAAATTCGCTTTCAGGGCAATTACATCTGTGCTCCAACCCGCAAACAGGTTATTGGGTGCTTTCAACCCTCCCTAGACGAATGTCCATTGTATTATGCGTACAGAGAAATCCCATCAATCAGGAGGCTACCATGTTCAGTAAAATCATTAACATAGAAACATTTCCGGATCAACCATTGACTGTTACAGAGTAATATCCTTAATAAAACATTCAAAAAGCTTTGTGGTAGACATGGGGACGACATTTCCAAATTAGACGCATCAGTGACCAAAATGATATCCAAGGCAATTCCCTATTTGAACTTGTAACATATGTGTTGCCGTGTGTTTTTTAGGTATATAGGTAAACAGTTGACTTGCCCTTGCAAGTATTTGTGACGCTGCCACTTTTTCGAGAATTTGATAGTGATTCATAAACACATGCTCAAGTTATAATCTGCCAAAATATCACACAAATCTACAACGTTTGTCTGAGAACCATTTGTGGTGCAGTTTGACATGTAAGGCACAATAGGGACAGCAATCAGGTTATGTTTACACTATATAATGTTTTATTATTTTACCGGGTAAGTGCGTCCCAAACCCGCTATTGTGTAGTCGTTTTTGTGACTTTTTGGTGAACCTTTATGGACAGACCTAGATATGAAGCAGATGAGGCGGTCTCACTGGTCTCCTTTATTTGTAGCGCAGGTGATAGAACAGTGGAAGTGAATTCTCGGTCAGAATATTATTAAAAGGTTTCTGATAACCGATATGCGTTTTGATTATGCCAGTTTGAGCTGAAATGTCCTTTCATGTGCATGATGACACAGATCAGTAAGGCGGAGAGCAAAGTTAGGCCCAATGGGGATGCCTACCTCTTGCCGACATGTCCTAGATGTTCTCTATGAGGAATTCAATATAATGTTTACTCAGGAAACATTATTGAACCTGGTTCTTTCTGAGATTGCAAAAAATCAAGCAAATCCCGATGGTAAAAATTTCACTTTTTTCATATACCTTCTGTGAATATGAAGAAATATAAAACATCACCAGAGAATAATCAGTCACGGTTATTAACCTCGAATAATGAAATTCCATTGGGCATAAGAGCTAAAACAACTGTGAAAAATAAATACATTGACCACTGAAAGTCAGCGATGACATCAGGTGCTCGCGAAAAGGACAATCTAGTTCTGCCCTGTAGGTAGCACCACTCATTCAATTTGGCTGACACCGAGCAGCAGCACTCCTACCATACGACGGCAGGCTTTACACAATCGATTCTTGACCTGACAATCCAGTGACACCACAGCGCATTTACTGATTGTGCTGAAACTAGAAACGATATGTTAATTTTGAATTACGTCTGCTGTATACAAGTGCGGTGAAAGGCCTTCCTTTATTTGATAAAGAAATATGGTTCATCTTTGAGAGTTGTGCATTTGCTGGACCGAGTAATATATATCTCACTTTGTAGGAAATGTTAAAGAACTTTGACAGTACAACAAAGCAACGGACACGTCCCAAGGAACCTCCCTATTTCTATCAAAGTAATGGATCTTTACACGCCAGATTAAGATTAGTTTTGTTCAGATCAGAACGATGATGGACGATCAAACGAACATTCACCCGGATCTGCCTTTTCTATTTGGACACCAATTTAAAGATACTAATATTATATTCAAAGTACATAAAGTACATTATTTCAAATTTTCTAATAATTACTTTGATCAGGCGTTTTTTCATTGATGATGCCCTTATAAATTACAAATTAATCATTTCTTGCGACTTTCTTAGTTCACTTTTAACATTTATATGGAACTCTAAGAGATTTGTGATTAAACAAGACGATCATAGATATAATTACCGTGGCTAGATTTGGAAATTAAAACACAACTCGAAGGTTACACATCAGCATTGTTTGTTAAACACGTTTGTGTGTTAAAACGTCTCTTTATATATTGGGAGAGGTGCAAATATGTTTTATTAGATCTAATCTTTCCTGAATATAAATTTGTCTAAATCACGGATGTGAAAGTAGTCAAACTATATGTATTCATTATATCACCAGGGCATGTCCTGAGTAGAACAAATACGAAATGTGAAATGTCATATCATTATTCACACCGAATTTCACACGCACCATTGTTGTGTCCTGTGAAAAACCATTCATCACCACTTGGTGCCTGTCAAATCAGAGAATACACATCCGTGACCTTCAGCTATACTTACACTACCCTGGTGTCTATGATAGCTTGCAGCTATCATCTGTCGACCACACTTGGCATAGTCCACAATGGAGATGGATTTGTGTAGCAGGTAACTTCCAAGATATAATTGATAAAATAAATTGAAACGATTAACAAATGATTAATTATTACAAAAGCTTACTGATAGATTTAATGCACATGTTATTGTTAATCAACAGTTGGTGCCTGTCAAGTCACAGAACAGGCATCCGTGACCTTCGGCTATACTTACACTACCCTGGTGTCTACGATAGCTTGAAGGTATCTTCTGTCAACGAAATGAATCATCGCACCCAATGTGGAAGGATTTGTAACTCTGATAATGTCCATCAATATAATTGATAGAAAAAAATTGAATCAATTAACATCTGCTCAATAATCACAAATAGTCGTTGAATATTTATTGAAATGGACACGGCGTTATGCAACAAACAGTTACTTTTATGCACATTGTCTTAGTAGCTGTCCCACCGGTAGAGCAGGATGTGCTCATCCTCTTGTGAACTCCTGGTGTCATTTCTGATCCATTCAGCGATCCATTCATGTAATAGTCGTTACTAGTTTGTTTATACTAATTGAATCTGTTTTGACTGATACCCAAGGCTTGTTATTCTCTGCCGTTGACTTTTTATATCTGTGAGTTTAAGAACCTGCACTTTCTACGAAAAGCGCCATACGGCTCTTGGTTAATATTATATCTATACATAAAGATGCGAACTGTATCACATGAGGGGTGACTTTAACTTTACAATAGTCAACTATGTAATTTTAATGTGAAATTAAGCCCCATTTCACCTCACGTCACACTTATGTCGAGTAATATTCCAGCTGCTCCAGCCTTTGGTGTCTACATTTCACAGCTTTTGAGGTACAAAGGCCGTGATTTGACCTCACATGTGTTTGTGACGGATGGAAACGGTTTTACGAGATTTACGATTCTGTCAAATAAATTCGGAATATATCTCAATGACACATGTACAACAAACTATCAGTTCCACTTGTGAATGTTTCAAAAATAACTAATTGAGTTGTCAAGTGGCTGGCGAGATAATGTCAGAAAGATCATTGCATCCGGATTTGGTGCGTGTAACCATCGACACATCCATGCTATATATACCCGACATGTACCAGTCCATCCACAACATTGTCCACTGATATCCAGAACTGCAAAGGTAGGTGTCTTTTTTATGAACGTGTATAATATCTATCCTAATAGTCCTCTGCTGTTTCGGTGTGATGCGAAAATTAATATTTGTATGTCCAATCAGGTAGTCGTGTTAAACCAATAAATATTGTATTTTCTGTTATGGTTATAATGTTGCTGTATTTAACAGCGGCGGTATAAATTAAATTACTGACAAACTGCGATCATAGTGATCCTCTATTTAGTGAGGTGAGGTGAGGTGAAATTGGGTTTAACGTCGCGTCCAAGATTATTGCACTTATATAGCGACGTGCATGCACGTGTATGTGTGTGTTTTGCTGCTTGTACTAGTCCGGACTGATGCCGATTTATAGTGCTAGCTCACTGAGATACCATGCCGCAGTTTAACATGAATACCCCACTCAGACACAGTATACTGACTCCGAGCCGACCAGTCCTTGTTTTATCCCCTTAATGACGAGCGCCAGACAGGGTAACAACAAGTACAATCTTTTAACGTCTTTTTGTATGACGCGGCCCGGGCCGAACCCTGGACCTTCCGCTCTCCGGGCGGACGCTCTACCACAAGACCACGGAGGCGGTCTCCTCTATTTAGTGGCCATTTACAATTTAGATCCAAATGCTGTAATGTATCTGTGCATATTACATATTGTGTTTAACTTGACAGGATAATCTGATTTTGAAGGATTGGTCCTAATCATAAAAAAAAGTTATTTTAAAAGCGAGTATTAGTCGTTCTCATGACGTGTTGTTAAATTGCTGGGACAAAGTGCTCACAACAACTTTTAAATGGATCACTCAAACTATCTTATATGTACCTAGATGAAGATTGCCCTCGTCCTCCTGTTCCTGACTGCCATGGTGGCCCTGCCCGGAACCGATTCCTGGGGTATTCGTTTGCCACGTTTCAGGAGTATTGTACGTGCGGTTGGAGGTGCCGTCAGGCGCGTCGCTTCGACAGTAGTCAATGCCGGGAAGAAAGTTGTCTCAACTGTCAAAAAGGTTGGAGAAGCAATTAAATCTGGTGAGCGCATTTCTCTTGACAACAAGTGGTACTTTTGTGAAGGTTCTTAAGAGCAGGACATTTGTTATGAACGTAAATATGTTTGTCTGGCTAGTGATAGAATAAGGAGTATCCCCATTTTCTAATGTATTCCATAAGTATATTTTAATGTGAAGTTTACAAGATATACGGCATTTCCTTTGGATGTGAGGCCGGTCACATGGCCGCGTAACTGATGTTCATAAGTCTATGAACGAGACAATTGGACGTCCATACGTGTTTAACGAGATTGTATCTTGAATGACGTAAACACTGACGGAAACTCATTGGGAATCTAAAGCGCAAATAAACACAGAAGCATTGTTTCTGATCATTTTGACCTTTCAATCTTGAAATCTGCATTTCGGCATACATTGGGCAGAGAGTTTGACTGCATAATCGTTCACAAATACCCTCGCAGCGACCAATCAAAGTAAAACTAAACGAAAAAATGCACTTCTCAACCGTCACAGTATCGCCTCGATCCGTGTCAAGACAGGCAGATACAGTCAGGTGCAATCTATGACTTTCCCTTAGTATCCATTTACAATCAACTTTCAAAGATCGGACCAATTGATCAATGATGACTAACACTTGTAATTGCCACAGGTTCATCAACAAATGCGGACATCTTTTCCGTCACGTTTATCGTGTCGTCCACGTACTGAATGTATATGTATTACAACGCGCTGTCATTGTGACTTACGTACAAACCTATCTCATCTAATGATGACTCAAAGATATTTGAAGATGTTTGTTGTAAACAACCACAAACGATGTCACTGTAGAACAATGTAAGGATACATGAGCTCGTGCCACGTCTCCTGTCGAAGAACTGCTTCATTCCGTAAAACTTGTAGTTGTATGGATGTCAGTGTAAACATGAAGTCACACGTACTACATAAAAATCGTATATAGCTCGACATCCTTCGTCTTGAAAAATAGTGATATAAAAAATCATAACTGCCTTTCACTTTGAGTGAGTTCATTGGAGTATAAACATTCATAGAGTGAGGATCAAACATTGTATGAACGTCTTCACAAGCTCCATTCCGTGCAAGCAGTTCATTATAAACTCACGTTGTTTTACCAAAAGAGATGTCTAGCGGCATCCAGGTGATAATAATATATAATCTATATATTTTCCGATAAGTGACAATGTATGGTTAGATTGAAACGGATGAATATCCACAAAAATGTCGAGCGCGTCCAGGTGAATGAGTCTTGTGTGGGTAGCTATCTATCTACATGAATACCTTGGATGATAAGAGCAATTATTTGAGAACTAAATATTATCAATTAGAAGAGCTTTCAACACCGTCGTTAGAAACGTACATAATTTGGGATAGGTCGCAACTTATGCTTCGAAAGATAGGATAAGTAAGAACTTCCAAAGTGTGTTGCATGGTCTAGCTACCTGACATCTCATCCCAACTGTAGACCACACTTGTCGGGAGGTTATAAAATAGACTTGTACTTATTTCCATCACCAGGTAAACGAGACGTGAGCGAGTTTGATGTGGACGGCGACGGTCAAGTCAGTGACGACGAGATCATGATGGTGCTGGCAACCAGAGACGTGGATGACCTTGTCCAGGATGGTTACATCACAGGTAAGGGAGATAACCACTCTAGTGTAGAAGAGACTTCAAGTACCACTTTGAGTAGAAATATATAGAAATGTCATCATCAACGTCATCAACGTCGACATACTTAATTTCCACAATGGGCCCATCTATTCCTGGCATACATAGCAATAAGACCTTCTTGTGTTTCAAGAAGCAGACAAGGAAGACATCAGCCTCTACCAGCGCCAAGTCCGGGAAGCTGAAGACCTCGATCTGGGTGAGACGTTAAACCCCAACATTAAAGTTGCAGAATACATATGCACATGCAAAGTGCATATGACTCAACTCACACACACCTCACCTCACATCTCCTTTTAATCTACACTATTTGTACATTCCTGATGATAGGCCATACCAATGATTTAGCAACTGATAATTTGGGTCAGGCGCTGAGGTGGAATTGAAATCCTCAATAGCTGTTGTGTAGTCACCCTAAATTCTCAATTAAATTGTAAACTCTTCTACACACCAACACACACCGATACACAATTAAACACACACACACACACACACACACACACACGCACGCACGCACGCACGCACGCAAGCACGTATGCACGCACGCACGCATGCGCGCGCACACTGTGTAATAGACGATTTGTGTACATTCTCATATGATCGTTCTTTAATTTTATATTTATTTTCGCTTTCAGAATAACCGTGCTGACAAGCGGAACTCAAGATGCCCAACTCATCTGTTATCCATGTAACAAGTAGAGTATGGACATAAATAAAGTCGTAAATAACAAATGTGTGTTTGTAATACTGGAAGTACTTCAAATGTAGTTAGGACCGCTGGTGTAGCACAGTGGCATAAGAGTTCATTCCTCGCGAATGGTCCGGTTTCGATTCCACACATGGCATGGGTACAGTGTGTGTAGCCAATGTCTGGTAGAATCCTACAAAAACGGCGTAAAAACATGCAACCTCACTCAAATTTGTTGTTTTGCTAACGAGTTAAAAAAAGAACCCTGAAGGTGAGTCTGAAGTGATGAACGCTGAAACCTGAAAACTTAAAATTCCCTTCCACTCACACCCTGATGTAACCGAAATACTGTTAAAATCGAAGTTAAACCAAACTCGCTCACCTCACCATCTTTTATTGAGTTTGTAATAGTGCTTTTCTCAACTTCCTTCCTATGTCTAATAAGTCTCTAAAGGAGTCAGTCAGCTTCTCTGGCTTCTCATGTTACCTGCACAGTGCCCTGGACAGTAACGCTGAACTGGTATCAGTGTAATACGTGTTATAGTGTGTGTGTGTGTGTGTGTGTGTGTGTGTGTGTGTGTGTGTGTGTGTGTGTGTGTGTGTGTGTGTGCGTTTGTTTGTTTGTTTGTTTGTTTGTTTGTTTGTGTGCGTGCGTGCGTGCGTGTGCGTGCGTCCGTGCGTGTGTGTGTGTATGAGAGAGAGAGAGAGAGAGAGACCGAGACCGAGACCGAGACCAAACAGCTGTTGAGGATTTGAATTCCACCTCAGCGCCTTGTCGAAGTTATCAGTTGCCAAAATATCAGCATGGCCTATCATTAGTAATGTGCAAATAGTGCAGGTTAAAAGGTGAGTCATGATGGCATTCCAAGCAAAATATGTTACTATAAACAAGTGTATGATATATTATATTGACACAGTACCTAGCTGTGAAATATAACCCAGGTCTTGGGAGCGATAACCGGTCGCCTTAACAGTTAGCCATTGAGTGTAAAGAATTATCGGCCTGTTTCACAAACATTCCAGCAACATCACGACGGGGACACCCTAGAAATGGGCTTCACTGAGAAGCTGACGCTTCAACCATAATGCTACCTCACCGTCACTTATAAAAAAAGAAGATACATGAGAGTGAGTAAGCGGTGTCTGAAACCAGCAATACCCTAGTCACGATAGCTGACACCTAGAATAGGTACCACATAATGTATCAAAGTGAAAATCGAACCCTAATTATTCGGGTTGCCGAGAAAACGCTTTATATACTATGTTACCACACCACTCTAAGTGGAAATATCAGCAACGGATGATTCAGACATCTGCCGGATGATTGGGATTGGTTCATTGAATATCTGTAACATGTCGCAACAAAGAGCGTTTTACTTCCAGACGTTTTATAAGCGGACGTTCTCTACAGAATACGATATGCATTGACTATAACATATAAACGGACCATTAATAATATCTAATGTGCAATTTCCCAGTACGATATATGTCCGTGTCGTGGTTCATCGTTTTCATTGTTTTTATAGAGATAAGAAGTACACGAACAACTATGCGCTACACAAAGCAAAAGCTGCATAATTAAGTCAATCAGTATTTATTCAAGCGTCCGTAGACCTGTAGTACATATGACAGTGGGGTTGCACACAATTTAGCTATTATTTACAAATTTGGTTCTATATAACAGTGCTTGGAATATATACACAGCCAAGTTTTGCATTGTTAATGTATTTAGCCTGTTTAACAGTTGCCGGAATTCCGCAATATTCGGATCATTAAAGTAGTATACAGGAATATAGTTTTTCTCTCAGTGTAGTAAATGGACATACAGGTAAACAGTGGTATTAATTCTCTATGTCTTGGGTATTACACATTTAACATACTCGTTCTGACCTTGGGTTTTTTGTACATGGCCCACTCTCGATGCATAACTTATGAGATGAACATCGAAATCTTATCAATGAATTACGATATTTCTTTATATTTACATAAAACAGATACTGTTCAGTGAAGATCCGGGATAAAATAGAATAGGTCTTCAACAACCCATGCTTGTCGTAAAAGGCGACTATTCTTGTCAGGCTCGCTGACTTGATTGATGCACGTCATCGATCCCAATTGCGTGGATCGATGCTCATGATGTCAATCACTGGATTGTCTGGTCCAGACTCGACTATTTACAGACCGCCGTCATATAGCTGGAATAGTGCTGAGTGCGGCGTTAATCAACAAACAAACAAACTGTTCAGTGTGTATATGAGTTTTCAACATTCTATAATATACAGTTTGGTCGATAATGTCAAGGAAAACGACCACGATTGCAGATAAATATCATTTAGTCTCTGTAGAAAAGAACTGATATATACACTTTCAGTTCTTACAGATTGTGCATACCAAACATTTCCAAAACCATTCATATATAAATAGAGGAAATCTACCACATTCTCTCCATAAACCATTGCGTGAGATGTATTGGTTTTTACACCAAGAAATGTTTTACATGCATACAAATTTTTCGATATTATTAAATTGTTTTATTCCCCAAATTTCAGCACCGTTAAGTAAAATTGGTTTAATTTTAACATAACAAATCTTAAAGAACTTGTATGACATGCAACGTTTATAACCAAGGACTTTTATATTCTTCAAAATACCAAATAAAATCTTGTTGACGTGGACTGATGCTTCCCTTGGATGTATAGACCAATTTAGATTTTTACTTCAAAATACTCAAATATTTATAGTATGTAGTTACATTCTTTAACGATTTAACTGTTCACATTCAGTATGAAACCATTCATTATTGTATTTACTTCTTCCAGCTGGCTTCTTCGTGTCATTTGCCGCGGCACATAATGCATCTGTATTAAACTCTATACTTCCATCAATGTCACTAAATCTCATATCAACTGATTTATCAAGTAATTCTTGTATATGATCGGATAAAATGTTTTCTCTAAAACATTCAAACCTTTTGAAGTCCAGTTTAGATCTGCATGAGTTCTGATTGTTGCCAGTGTTATTTACAATTTCACAGGCTTCACACGTTCTTGGCTTCAGGGTGAGCGGAAGATGAGGTCACTCTGCGCGTGGTTCGAAAAGCCATTGGCAAGCTAAAATAGTGCTGCAAATGCAATATTATTATCTAATACGCCTGCACCGTTTTTCACAATGAATGTATACTCCCAATTTCACCGTCAGTTTCTGATCTTCCGTTCATGACATGAATGTTGCATCACGAGCACAACACTAACAATCATTTACCAAAGTTCTTAACATTTTTATCACTTATGAAACGATTTCAACTCAAAATTGCGCACATAAAATCCCAGCTTGAGTTGCCTTGCCACAGCCCTTCTATATATTTTATAATGTCATCTTCTACAAAATCAGACCTCGTTCCTGTTCTGGCGTTTTAGTCTCCACCACAAATAACAATAGCATCTCTTCATTTTGATGATATGTCCAACAAACTTTTTTGAAACATAGTGATGCCAGATAAAATGTTTTTAATACCATTCCTCAGGATGGATATATACACATGCATATAATATGTCAGCAAGGCTTTATGTTCATAGACTTTTTTATATACAAAATATAGTCCGTGTAAGTGACTTTCACATCCTCTACATCATCCAACCAAAATTCTGTGAACTGTGGCTGTGGTGTTTCAAAGAAAAATCTTTATTTCAAATGCCGACTGATGTGGGTACATATTTAGAGTAAAGTGATATGTGTCTGCATGGGATACACACCAATGCTTGTCTGTCTTTTTGTGTTAGTAAAAGCGACAAAACCCTTTCCATATTCATAAGACACATTTGTTATTTCCAAAAGGACATGTCTTTGTATATTTTATCAGATATATATTGTCTCTTCGCCAATCCATTTCTTGTAACTAATCTTTCCTGAATATAATATTGTTTAAATCACGTATGTGAAAATGTAGTGAAAACTATTAATTATATCAGCAGGTCATTTTCCTGAGTAGAACGAATAAAATGTGAAATATCATGTCATAATTCACACTGAATCTCACACGCACCATTGTCAGTCCCTATGAAAATCCATTCATCACCACTTGGTGCCTGTCAAATCAGAGAATACACGTCCGTGACCTTCAGCTATACTTACACTACCCTGGTGTTTATGATAGCTTGCAGCTATCATCTGTCGACCACACTTGGCATAGTCCACAATGGAGATGGATTTATGTAGCTGGTAACTTCAAAGATATAATCGATGCAATAAATTGAAACAATTTAGCAACTGGTTAGATATAAACTGCAAACTTGGTGATATAAATATAACAACCTCTGACTCTGTCATGTATGGTGGCATACTACTAACACATAACCTGTCATGTAAATCAAGTATTGAAAAATGATGTCAAAAAGCAAGACAAAGTATTAATTCGCTTAAATCTGTGGGACTCAACAGTTCTGAGCTATATCCAGCTACCAGTGGACAAATCCGGTTAAGAATTATATTAAAGACAAGTTTTTACGGCTGCGAACTGCCCTTTGATATTAAGGGTCAAAACATTAATGTCATTGAAAATACTCAACGCTATTTCGCACGAACTGTACAAGGACTTGATAAAAGATCTCCATCAGAATCCACTATTGCTAATCTTGGGCTTTGGACAATGATCGGCGATATCGACAAGTGTAAACTTCAGGTGCTTGGCCGCTTATGTAACTTAACCTGTAACAATTTTGCTAAACATCTTTTTTGTGCACACATTGCAAATCCAAATAATCCTAAATCTGTATGTGGAGATTTATTATCAGTTCTTAACAAGTATAACCTACGAAACAACCTTTGTACATATGTAAGCCGTGGTGTATTTCCTACAAAGAGAAACTGGAAGCAACTGGTAAATAAAAACATTTATGAATATGAAGAAAATATGTGGCGCAGAAAAGTTTCCGTCAATACAGGTCTTTCACGCTTCATGCTAATCCACACAAAGCTTACTCACCATATATTATGGCAACTAGCATATCTGTACCCAGGTCAGAGGTCTAGTTTAAAATTTTGTGTT